GGAGAAAACTACGCAGGACAACAACACTGCAGAGAGAAGGAAAACTTGAAACCCTATACCAACGCGTCTGGCCAGCGTGGTATAGTAGGCCAAAACCTCCTTTCTAAGGGGAGGCCTATGTCCAGCAGTGGACTATTAAAGGCTGTTGATGATTGATGATGATGATGATTAGTTAATCTTTATTATATAATTAATATATATAATTTAAAAATGTAATTTATAATTATAATTTATAAATTATAAAAAATACTAGGCTTTAATATATAATTATACATATAATAATACATTTTTTGAAACTTATGTTCAACATTTAACACCATTTTTACACCAAAAACCCTAGTGATTTAAGGTAACGCCACATTTAGTGACTGGGCTATCACTGGCTTACTCAAAAGTAGGAAAAGATTATACGAGTCATATGATGGAGGAATTATAATAAAAGTGACTAGTTTCATAACTATGTGTATGTAATTTAATTTAAATATAAACATTAAATTTATCACATCAAATGCTGAGGTTGCTGCTGCATTTGAGAACTTTTTTACTAACATTCCTGTATTAAATATTAAATCTTTAAACTCCTCACCATGCCTTGCAGAATCATTTATAAAAGATAACGTTAGTAGGATTGATAATGAATTTAAGTTCCAATATGTTTTGCCGTTTGAAAATAGTAAAGCCTTTAAGACTATTAATGTTAAAAAAACAACCGACCTATGGGGAAATTCTGTATTCATTACTAAAATAATTATATCTCTTGTGGCTAATAAATTTGTGATTTACGTTTAATCAATGTATTGATAGTGGTGTAATGCCTGATCTTAAATTTATTCCCTTATTCAAATCTGGTAGTAAGTACATCAGACCCAACTTATTTTAGACCTATCTCAGTGCTACCAGTTTTTAGCAAATATTTTGAAAAATTGACGTTCGATCAATTACGTTTTTTTAATAATAATAATTTATTACACAATAGACAATTTGGTTTTACAAGGGGTCGCTTTACAACTGATGCCAGTGTTGAGCTAGTAAAACATATATTTGATGCTCTCGATTCTCTAGGTATCTGTTGCCATTTATCTAAACTTTTTGATTGTGTTGTTCATGAAACGCTGACGCTTTATGTCTGGATTACAGGATTCAGCAAAATGATATGGAATTGTCGTTCCACAAGGTTCTATTATCGGCCCTTTTCTGTTATGAGTATATATTAACGACTTACCTCACCCTGTCAAGGACAATCTCGAGATTGTGTTGTTTACAGATGATACATCACTACTATTTAGACTAAAACGGACACTTACTAATTTCACAGACATAAACAGCGCCATTTCAAAAGTGGTTTGAAAAATTTGCTTTTAAATGATCAAAAAACTAAGTGTATGCGTTTCACTATGCCAAACGTCAAGCCAATGAAAACTACTGTAATTAAGGATGTCGAGTTGGAGCTTGTTAATACTACGCAATTTTTAGGTATAACAATAGATTCTAAGCTACAGTGGGCCCACATATTGATTAATTATCGAGTAGACTCAGTTCAGCCGCATACGCAGTAAGAAAAATTCGAGAGTTGACTGATGTTAATACAGCACGACTTGTTCACTTCAGTTGTTTTCGTAGCATAATGTCGTACGGTATTCTACTGTGAGGAATGCTGCCGACATTCAAACAAGTTTTGTACTGCAAAAGAGAGCGATTCGAGCGCTTTATAATGTAGGCAATTGTTTTGCATTAAGGAAGAAATTTAAAGAAATAAAGATAATGACAGTGGCATGTCAATGCATATATGAAAATGTAACATATGTTCATCAAAACAAGGATAGCTTTTTGAAAAAAGTGATGTACATTCTTTAAATACCAGAAATAGAAATAAACTTGTAGTACCCGCCTCTAGGTTCCAAAAGATAAACAAGTCGCTTCTAGATCAAAGTGTCCGATTTTATAATAAAATAGTCTTCCTCGATAAATTGGCTATCCAATACAAAAAAAAAACAATTTGAACCAGTAGTTCCTGAGATTAGTGCGCTCAACTAAACAAACGAACAAACTCTTCAACTTTATAATTTGAGGATAGAATGTACTAATAGTGGTGTAGGTGAGGAGTTAAAAACGAATATAAACGAAAGTACATATTTACTTTCAGACAAATTGAAAAGACTTAAATAATGTAAATTTAGATAATGCAGTTGGCAGAAGCATATCATCACAGAAATCGTAATAATAAGACTCTAAAAATGAATTAGCGCTCGATTACTTCCAAAACCGATATCGCCGCATCTTAACACATACACAAAATAGAAACAAATAGGTATAAGACAGGCATACAATTGCAAAACAAGGGTGAAATAAACTATTATAAACCTTAATCGCCAGGAATTACATTGAATTTTACTATTAGAAATTGACTAAATTTTTCGAAGGTGTCGTTATTTTTTTATTTAAATTAAATCAAAAAAGTATCGGGAATAGATGATTTGTTTAAGGTTCCTAATTAAAATTTTTGTTTTTTTTTTGTTGTTGTTAGATTGGCACAACTGTTTTCTATTTTGGCGCAGAGTTTGAGTTGCATCTGTTATTTATATTAACCACAGTGTTTTTTTAGCTATATCATATCTAGTGTGTATTGCGAATTTCATAATGGACAAAAACATCGAACAAAAAGTTTTTCTTAAATTTTGTTCTTCACTGTCACTGAAAATGTTACAGAAGGCTTACGGTGAATCGACTTTATCAAAAACACGTGCTTATGAATGGTACATAGCGTTCAAAAACGGTCAAGATGTGATGGAAGATTTGCCTCGCTCTGAAGATTTGACCCAGCATTCATGAAACGGTAGAAGACATAAAGGAGAATTCGCGGCGAGAACTGAACTCGGTTCCGGAAACAGCGTTTAAAAATGATTTGATGATTGGATTATTCGTTGGCGTACTTGTATCGTTTCTGAAGGAGCATACTTTCAAGGTGATAAAATAAATTTGGATAAATAACAAACATTTTGTGTATTATTGATCTTTGCCCGGTATTTTCTTGACAGAGAATATAACAGAGCATATTAAAATAATACGGATTACAAGTAGCAATGAAAACCATAGACCTATATACTACTTTTTTAATTATTTTAACAGTAATGATACTTATAAATGAATGTACCTACCTATTATAAAATAATAATATTTGTTTCGGAGCTTGGGTGTTTTCTATATATATTATGTATGTTTTTACAAAAAAATATATATGTATTCTATCAATCATTCTAGTTTTCATGGTACAAGCTCTAGTTAGTTTGTTTTGTTATTATTATATTAAAAAAAAGACAAGAATAAAAAAATATTAAAAAGAAAACACTAAAACTCACAGTTACAAAAAATTGACGCGATCACCACACTAGGCAAGACTGTATCGTGGGGACCCAGCCAAACGTATTTACAATATGGTTTAAAGCTCCTGCACTTCAGAATTTTAAACATAACTAGCTGACCCGGCAAACGTTGTATTGCAAAACAAAAAAAAATTAGGGATGGGTCACCCTTACCATTTAGGGGTATGAAAAATAGATGTTGGCCGATTCTCTGACCTACCCGATGTGTACAAAAAATTTCATGAGAATCGGTCAAGCCGTTTCGGAGGAGTACGGGAACGAACATTGTGACACGAGAATTTTATATATAAGATAGAAAGATAGAAAGAAAAACACTGATAAGCTATCAATGATAAGATAACAAAAAGAAACGCTTAAAATTAAGAGATCCCTTTTAAATTAGGTACTAATTATATCATAATATATATTATACCACATATAAATAATATACAAATATAACACATAAGGAATACTTATAATAAAATTAACCTACCTCTAAATATAAGTATGTTTTATGCTGTAGTAGGTAGTTAATAACTTTCTGTCTCTTCATAGGTGAGTTTACTTAACCATTCATAGGTTTTTATTTTTGTGTCTGGACGACGTATGTTACATAATGTGGAAGCAATATAATAAATGTAGGCTGATAAACAATAAATAACAGGTAGTTTGGAGCGCTAAAAAGTCTAGCTAAAAAGTAGAATTAAACCCAACTCCAACCTAGTTTGTAAATAGAAATTACGTTATTCGCGTAGACCGCGTGTACTATCAAAATATAATTCATTGAATGAATAACAGAATTAAAAAGTTTGAAAAAATAAGTACTTTCACTTATTGCTTACAAAACGGCAATTTCATAGGTAAAGACCTATTATTATAATAAATACGAATGGAATGCAGTAGTGAATAGTTAATTGAATTTAACTTTTTCATGGTTTATGCGGGTTATATTATGGCCGAACAAACGATGGCTAAGTAAACCAAAGCATGCACACCAACTGTTCAAGAATTCAGATTCCATGAAATTGAAATTAAGATTACTCTATTTTGTTCTACATTTTTATAGAGATAATGCTAGTGTAACATTTGTTTGTTTCTTTTTCTACTATAGTTTTAGGTTAAATAGTTAAAAAAATATCAAACTTTTGAGGACGATGACTTAAAGATCTAAAGAAAGTCGTTTTATCCAATGTTTTAGTTTTTGATTCAAAGTAACACGCTGCTATTGCAGGCGGTGCCGCAAAAAACTTGTATCCTCTATGTGAGAAAAAAAGTTAAATGTCACTCACTCCTATTGGATGCGAAAATCAATGATATTTTCTATTGTGTTATTTTTTCTATGGTGCTGATCAATTTTATGAAATTAAATCTACAATAATGTGTGAGAAAAATAGTATTCAGTTCTATAAACATTTTTATTTACTAAATAATATGGCAATTTGTACGCGCGTAAATGAATAACCATCACAGTATAATTACTGCACTAGCACAACGTTAATACGTTGTGCTAGTTTTCTCATAATACGGTTAATTAATATGACTATGAAGTAGGTACACAGGAGTAAGATTTGATTATGTTAAAATGTCCAGAATATTTGCTAATAAATTTTAACCTGCTTGCATTGTTTGGATTGGAAAACAATGAGGTTTCATAGAAGGTGCGGCGACCGGGTCACATTGTTAAATGAAAACCTTACAGCTGTAAGAAATTTTGTAGAATTTAACCATGGGTTGATATTGAGCTGCGAGCCCTTGAAGGATGATGTTATATTCGAAGTGTGCATTGATCGGAAGGTAAGTCAAAGAACAAAGAAACAGATAAATACACATAGAATTAATTGGCTTGAGACAAAATATTACAAAATAAATGGAATGAATTTATTCCTTGCCTTTTTCAATTTCTTTCTAGTAATTACTTAAACATCAAAATCCATTTCTATAAATAAATTGGTCAGATCAGAACAGTATCCGTTTTTTCAACAAATTTCACAATGAGTATAGAGTTTTCAATCTTAGGTCAATGTTTGGAATGGCAGTCTCGAGATAGGCGTTACAACATTGGACCCCGAGTTTGTGGAACTTCCAGCAACAGCTACTAAACTGAGAAATACAGCATGGGTAAGTGTGTACTGCTTATTACTTCTTCTTACTCTTTTTTGTAATATTTCTTATGACCCAAAAGCCAAAAAATAACAGAAAGTTAAAAAAGAAAGGAACAATCTAAATTTGGAAAAAATAAGCAGATAGAGAGAGAGGGAGAAAGAGAGCAACACAGAAGAAACTGAAACATCAATGACTGAATTGAGACTGTGATAGCCAGGGTTGCATATCTGTATGTCTATCTGGTTGTTGAAGTTGCTGGGACTGGGACATAAACTGGCCTGAGATCTTTGACTTATTAAGTTTTAATTAAAGTAGTTGTTGCTAACACATTGGCTAACAGTGTAAATAATACAATACAACACAAATACAACTGTGCAATGTAATTCTTAATCAATACTTCCATACTTATTTTGTAAATGTGGAAGTAAGTTTGTTTGTTTGTTACACATTTAGGCCTAAAGCACAAAACCAATTTTTAAATTTCCTTCACCAATGAAGTCTACAATATCAGCAAGTAACATAGGCTACTTATTACCACAATAACCAACATAATGGTGGGCAGAGCTGTGAGCGTAAGCTAGTAAAATAGTTCAGTGAAGCAAGACTTAATGGTGTACCCAATTAAAGAGTAAAAAACACACTTAAAAGTATAAAAATTATAAATTTAATTACAATTATCTCTTTCATACTAATTCATGTATGAATGAGTGTAGTAGTATTATGAGCAGGTATTGTCATCTACATATCAAATATATCATATCATCACATATCAAACTTTCAAGAAAAGAGTGTACTAGCACAAACACTGGCAATGTGCTTGTGACTCCTGAATAATGAAGGACAGAACTTGAGTTCTTTAAGTCCTCAGGGACTGGACTCCAGCTAAAATAAGTCCTTAGTTCTGTGTTCTTTTGCAGAGTCCTAATGCAAAAAGATTTCACTCAGAACGGATTTTTTATTATGGAACTCAACTTCTTCAAAAAAAAAACTAGTCTTATTGGAGAATTTGAGTAGTGATTTGAGAGTAGAAGACTTTTTGAGGTACTTAAAATCAAATTATTGATTATCAAATTTTTTTTTTTTAAACATAGACCTGCAATATTTCATGTATTCTGGCAACTGGCATGCCCAGAAAACAAGCATTCTCTGCATCGGGAAATCTAATGAACAACAAAAGAAATCACCCTTAAAAAAAACCAATGGCTGGCTTTTTTTAAATAAATGAGCCAGTAAACAAATATTTAAATTCAGTAAAGATAACTGGTTCTTGAAGGAGATCATGAAAAACTAATAGCTAAGCGTTTTTATTAAACGCAAAGTTTCAACACCTGTATCCTTCCCTACATGATATACTGAGAGACCTGGTCCTCTACTCAAAGTCACACAAGAAACTCGCATAGAGTCAAAGGGCGATGGAAAGGAGTATTTTGGAAATTAAGTTACAAGATAGAATAACTAACACCGAAATAAGGAAAACAACAAATATTACCGACATTCTGATGGATATGTCACATGTTTCGCTGCGGGAAGGAGAAGGAGTGGAGTAAGCAAGTGACCCTGTGGTACTCTAGAGTTGGCTGCAGAAAATCTGGCTCTCCAACAAGAAGATGGGAAGTTGACATTCACCTAACCACACCACAGTTGCTGCAGACAGAACAGTGGAAGCAATCGGAGGAGGCCTATGACCACTCCGAACAGTGGGACATTTTTTTGAAAAAGTAAAAAAAAAACACACCCACACTTCAGATTATGGGCCATAGTACCTACTATTATAATAATATGATGACAAAAACACACAAAAATAACATTTGCATTTCAGATAATGTCAGGCAGCTCAATAGTGAAGGATGGTGTCACTTTGATCAATTCTTATGGACCAGAATTGGACACCTTACGAGAGGGAGACTGTGTTGGTGTTATGCGGACGTCCAAGGTAGGCAGTTTTGTTGACCTGTTTTCACAATCTTATAAGATTCCTAGTCTAGTCTAGTATGACTTTATTAGAGACTAAAAAGTACAGTACTATAAGATTCTGATATTTAAATTGACAATTTATCAGATCACTATGTAAATATTTTAATGCATCATTAGCATAATATAACAAAATTTAACCTTGTTGCAAATGAAAAGAACATTTTTTTTAAGTGCGCTGCTAAACTAAATCTTTAGTTTTTATTTTTACGGTGAAATGAACCAACACAAAAAAAACATGTTTGGATTTGACAATGTCTATTGAGTCAGCTAGTACTTAATAATGAGAATCCAACTCTCGCATCACAACTCTACAACAGTAACTAAATTAGGAGTTCAAACCAGATACAGAATTTAAAAAAATGCATTATATTATAGCAATTTTATAAGTTTTTTCAGGACAAACATTACATACAAAGACATAATGAATGCATAAAATATGGTGTTAGTCTGATTCTCTTGGAATTTTTGTTCTCTTTTGTAATGACTACTTATTGAGTTGTTAGAACTTATGTGAAACTGCTATAATACAACAATATAATTACGATATGACTTACTGTCTTTCACAGGGAGAATTGATGTTCTATGTAAATAGCCGATGTCTTGGAATAGCAGCAAAGGAAATGCCACCGAAATTATTTGCTGTCATTGACTTGTACGGTCAGTGCGTACAGGTTTCAATTATGCGTGCAACTGAAATGAGACCAATTATGGAGACAAGTTTAGATCAGGTTAGATATTGTTGCAATAACAAAAAGCTTTCTATATAAATAAATAATAATTGAAATGCTAAACTACTATTAAAACTACACATATCTGTGTTTTATATTGTATACTCACAATCGTTTTACTGACGTCAGCAGTCAGTCATTCCGGTAAACATTTTCTTTTTTTTTTATTATTTCTAAATCATATATAATGTAGTTAGGGACATACAATGGATGCTTATTAAATATGGTTAGCGTACATTCTACTTTCATATAAAGCACACATTTAAAAATTGAAAGAAAGACGAAGAATAACAAATTAGCAAATAAATTACAGAAATAAACAACAAATAAAGTCAAAATGTGGGAAGTACAAACTAGAAATCGCGTGGTGGTCGAATGTCGACCATAATTCATTAAACTTTGTCTTGTTTTTAATCATTGATCAGTATAATTTGAAGTTTTGTTAATTTTTTACTGGACCTGAAACCTGAATATAGTGGTATTTTATTGCAAAATTTATTAAGTTTTAAGCATTCTTTTTAGGCATTAAGTATTTCAAAATTCATTCATATTGGCAATTCAAGTAAAAAAACTAAACAATAAGTTATCAATAATACAATTTCTAAGTGAAATTGTATTATTGATAACTTATTGTTTAGTTTAATATAATCTTTTAATATAATCTGATAAAATTATAAATATCAGTTAATCCAGTCTGAAGGTGTTTCCTTTCAATCAATATTCCTAGCATGGATGAACAGTTATAAAACTGAAAAAAGGTTTTTAAATATGAGTAGTTTGTTCGATAAATTATTTTAATCTAATCTGATGACACGATAGAAATCTAACAAAATCAAACAAAAAAAAGAAAAGACCCTACTGTGCCTTTTTCGAAGTTATTCAAGACGTGTCAATCCCTATAAGTCTCGCAATTCAGTTTTCTACAGCAAAAAATAAGTGTTCTAGAGATCCAGTTATTACCTAATCACTGAACTAACACCATATAAAATGGTCACCATATTAACATAAAACAACTTTATTCCTAAACAATTCGAATGAATTGCAATGGGAATATAAGTAGATCTAAGTCCTATAAGCCTTCTCAAAAATATAACTCTATTCATAAATTGACAAATAAAAGACCAAATGTTTGTCATTATTTTATAGATAGAGGAAGATCCTAATAATGATGATACATTGACATCAAGTGAAATGGAAGTAGCCGGTTTACCACCAGAATCCGCATATCCTAAAGAAATTTCGAAATATTTGCATTCCAATGAACATCCGAAGGTGCTTGTGCTCTTGGTAATTTAATTTATTCTTCACTGTATTTAATTTCTTTAGTTAAATCAAGAGTAGTTTCTAAATTGTATGTTTTTTTATAGTGCTTCAAGACCGGCTACGATTTCATCCAAGATGTGGTATATTGATAAAGCTGACTGCTAATAACAAGTAAGTGAAGCTTTCACAGACTTGTGTTCTGCTGCTTATATCATTTTTTTATGGTGTACCGGTGCAAACGAGCAGACGGGTCATGGTAATTGACTATCACGTCAAGAGCCACATGTGCCCTGGCAACCGCATTCACTCGGTATAAAGCATCGAAGAAAATGCTTAACACTGGTATCCTGTGAGGCCGTGCTATCACTTCGGTCGAGCCGGGCCATTTATGCAGAACAGTGATATTATACCTACATGTGTAAAAACACATGTATCTAATTAGATACTGTAAATGTAATCAAGATTTGCGACTTCATCATGGATTTTTCAAATGAAAAACAAGTGTCTATTTAACACATATACCTTAATATATTAAAATAGTTATCCTGCATTAACTCAGAAATTATCAGATAACAACTTTGAAAACCGAAACATGTTCTCAGAAACAATTCTCCTTTTATTACGAACGAAAATCGACCTCAGTCATATAGAGATGGCTATATGTACAGGTGTGCAGAACGAGCACGCCCTTTGGACGACTACAATAACGGCGTAGTGATGACACATCGACCACTTCATGATAACGAGCTGTTCGAAATACGGATTGATAGGCTTGTAGACAAGTGGAGTGGCAGCATTGAGGTGACTACCCAAATATACTGTTTAGTAAGCTGCCTTTGAATATTATTGACGATTGCACGGATGGCGTAATAGTTTAAGCGGTCACCTCACCGCTTCCTACTGCGCTGAGTGTTGTGGGTTCGATGCCCACATGGGACAACACTTTGTGTAATCCACAAATTGTTGTTCTGAGTCGGGGTGTTCTTTGTGTCCGTTTCATGTATGTGTGTAAAGTCCCCCGCGATACAGGATATACATATTCCTAGTGTGATACTTGAAAAAAAAGATTTTAGTAACAAAATACAAAAAAAATATATTTTATGACACAAATTCCCTATAATTAATAATTTTGTATCAAATGCATATGGGGCTGTATAAAAGATATAATGTATATTATAGGTGGGAGTAACATCGCATAACCCTGCAACTTTGAGATTCCCATCGACTATGACGAACATGGACACCGGTACGATCATGATGTCTGGGTGTAAAGTGCTGATTAATGGCCAGGGCACTTGTATGGAATATGGCAATTTTAACCTGGATGAGTTGAGAGTAAGTTAGTCCCGCTTCTAAGCACGCCTATTACAAAAAAATACTAACTATAGTGATAGTAGAGTAGAGAATAAGAAGAGAAGTCACAAGTCTTCTCTTAGTGTTAAAATTGGCGTAGTTTCGGTTGACAGATTTCATTAAAGAAACAAATAGGATTATCATTGTTATACAAATTATTTAAATCTGGACTTTAAATCAATTTATTATTATTATTAATATATTATTTGATATCCATATGTCATTCTTTACAAGACCAGCGACGATAGATCTATTACAAGCTTTTATTTAACTTATAATGTTCGTCAGTTTGATTCAAATCTCGCAAGAACCACTTGCTCTTATTCTATGGAGATGTAATGCTTGGATAACGATGCTCCGGGGGGACGGATTCATTATGGGTCAATAGTACAAACTCCAAACTTAATATAAGAATTGATTTTTGAAGTGAAAATTTCTTTAGGCGCGCTGAGCATTTTTGAACAACAAACAAAATATTTTTTTAGAGATGGGGAAAAAAAGCATTGAACTCGCGACACTGTTACCGTTATCGACACCTCTTTATATCCACATGTTTTGGTCCTGTTTACACGAGAGTTGAGTTTGGGTTGAAATACATTGAATTAACATATATTGTGTATATACCTACGTACAACATAGATATATATTCATGTCGGAACTTTACGAATCGAAAAAAAACTTTTTTGTTCCTGTTATGATAAAAGAAAACAAGTTTTCATTTCTGGTGGCACTCCTGGAGCAAATGGGTCAGCTGATTTTAGGTGACCACCGCCGCCTATAGACGCCTGCAACTCAAGAGTCACAACGTGAATTGCTACCCTTTCAGTCCCTTTCCCTAGAATCAAAGGGAGAGGGAGAAATGTAGCTTCGGTAACCTCACTCACTACGTAAAAATCAAAGCGAAAACTGCTTTACACCGGGTTTTTGTAAGGCCGTGGTACCACCCTGGTCGAGCCCATATTTACCGAAACGTAGCTCTCCCACGAGTAAATTATGAGTCTTCTAGAGATCATGGACTAGCCTGACCACAGAATTGGCTCCACACTAAGGAAGACCTCAATGATCGACAGTCTGGATGCGAAACTTTATATACGCATTGATTTAAGATAGTCTGTTCTAAAAGTCACCACAATCCGATACTCTTTATTTCTTTCTAGGAAGGTGATACAGTGGGCATGATGAAAAAAAGTAATGGCCATTTGCCATTACTTTATAAATGGTCTAGACCAAGGCGTTGCTACTGATAAAGTGGAACAGCAAGTGTGGGGTGTTGTCGACCTATACGGCATGACTGTCAAAGTAAGTCAAGGATTGATTAATTGTAAGTTATTGAAAAAAAAAACGAAAGCCCGACTGTGAAAATGTTATAGGTACTTAAAATGTACTAACCGGATATTTAATTTCTAATTTTTATATACTCCTCACAATAAAGACCAAACTAACGACACCTCCCAAACTAGAACTACAGAGCTTTCCAAAGAAATATACTTAAATACATACATACTGTCGAGTACTTAGTGCTTTGCAATGCGAGTCATTAAGTTTTTTACGTAATGGAAATGTAATTAATTAATTATGTTTTTTTTACAGGTTTCTATTGTAGATTCTTATGACGATGCGAACATTAATCCATCCTCTATTGGCTGCTTCGCCTGATTCGCCTGTAGCATGTAAGGCAAAATGAACATTGGAATTGTTTTTGAGCTTTTTGTGCATACTGTGGACAGTTGTTCTGTTTTATGAATTGAAATACCGTTGTAAGAGAATATGATGTACCATAACCATGAGAATAATAAAGAATAAGAACAAACATTCATAAGCACCCAAAATGTTGACGAAGGAGGTCTTAAGTCTACGTATAATCAATAATTATCTTTGAAACTCCTAGTCGAATTTCAAACATACTTTTCTTTAAAAGAAAGGCCATGATCTAATATAGGAATTGTCCTTGATCTATCCGTACTCACTTATATGTCATTTTACAAATGGAAGTAGAAATTCATATACTTTTAAATTTACAGGCAGGTTCCTTCCTAGAATTGACGAAGATAGCCTTTTATTTCATACGCTGCGTGATTCGAATGTTATTATTATTAACGATGGTAAGACTGCTCATAGGCTTAAGTAAGTATACATTTTTGTCATGTTTATTAAGTTTATTTTTATATTTTTATAAATGGCTCTACATTAATAATTAGTGATTTAAAAAAAGTTGTCACTGGTAGTGAATAGACTCGAAATGAATAGTCAAGAACTTTGTGTGATAAATAAGTAATTCAATAAGTAAGTGTTACCCTTGCAAAAGTATAAAATAAAATTATGTTTCAATTCAATTTTTTTTCACATTTCTTCACAATTCGAATGATGTTATAAATATTTAATTACAATTTTTATTCTAGTGCTTTCAAATACTTCAATAACGGGATCGTAATGACAAACCGAACACTGAGGACCAATGAATTGTTCCAAGTGAGGATCGATCTCGTTATTCCGAAGTGGGCTGGAAGCATTGAAATTGGGGTCACGCAGCATTCTTCTAATGATATCCAGTTTCCATTCAAAATGAGCAATGCGAAGTACGTATTTCAATGTATATCTATTTCTTTTACTCTATCGTGTGGGGCAAATTATTTTTTTGCATTGGAATTACAAAATTGTAGATTTTGCCGTACTTGAAGTACTTAGTGAAAACTAGAGGGGGACGGGGGACCCTCCCACCCCTTCTCGTTTTCACGTAGTTGTTCTTGGCATATATTACGAAAGAGAAGAAGGGTTTAAAAAATGGGCCACACAGTATTGGTACGTCCCTTTACACGAATGAGAGAGTATAATTATATTCTATGATAAAAGTAAATACGACATCATACTACAGAAAGTGTTGTTTGTTTAAGATCTGGCACATGGGCAGTTACCGGCGAAGACGTAATTAGGGATGGAGTCATCATTATCCCACAATATGTTAGAAATCTTAATAAACTTGTGGTGAGTGTATTATTTAGTGCCTGATTTAATATAGTAGTTGTTATTATAATATTGTCTGGTTGTGGTATTGTGCGAACTGGCAGCGCCCTCGTCGAGCTTAATTATAAAGTCGTGCATTCCTTAACACTACTTGAAAAAGTATTTGTTTATGTTATCATCATAATGCTTAGATTAAAGGATTGGAATTTTAGGAACATCTAACTGTTGCCGATTGATATTGTTTATAGGTATCGTATCAGTATCTTAGACGTTTTTGCTGACTCAAGGAAATATGGGGATCTTAATATACTGGTTTTTTGATTTTTTGTTTAATTTTATCTTAATTGTTACTTTTTTATATAGAATAAGTTATATTCATGGTTTATCCCATTTAAATTTAAAGACAATGTTTCATTTCTAAAGATGAAAATTACGACATTTTAATTCGCATGGAATTCAATTACACTTTAGCCTACCTAAGAAAGTTTTTCTAAAAATTTGCCAGTGCAATTATACTCTTAGTATATGATTATAATCAACTTTTAAAGGATTAATAGCAGCAGGGGTGCTATTAATATAAGTGCTGAGCCTTTACCTATGCTTGCTTTATAATTTACCGTGTGTGGTATCGTATCATGTCGCAGGAAGGTGAAACGGTTGGCGTGTTGCGGAATGATTTGGGCATACTGCATGTTTATATCAACGGGGCAGACCAAGGCCCAGCCGCATTCAATGTCCCGGAAAATGTGTACGGGATTGTCGGTAAGAATTTGTTATAAATTGCAGGTTTGACGTCCATCGAAATAATAGCAAAACTACATGTACTGTACAATTATCTTTAAAATATGTAAAACTTCTTGTCTTTTATCAACAAGCATACAATAAAATTAAATTTCGATTATTACCTTAACGGTAATATTTTGAACTCTTTTTCTGTGACATCTGGGTCCCCAGTACCTTTACCAGTCGTTTCTTATGTGACATAGTTAATCGAAGGTAATGTAATTTATAAAGAGTTCAGTATTTCTAGCTAAAATTAATTTACTTTTTTTAAATAGATTCATACTTCCTCTTTAATGAAATCTATTGTTGTTTTTTAATCGAATTCGCAACGTGATCTTGATGACCCAACTTATATTCATCTCAAGATTTGGATAATTCTGTTCTGTGCTCCTTTGTTAGTTTTTCGTCCAAAAAACTTCTGAACTAGACGAATAAAGATAATTGTTAGTTTATGTTATACATATATACATGCACGATTTTTCATACTACCTTTGGTTTGCAACAGATTTGTATGGGCGGGCAGCTCAAGCAACAATTGTGGACAATTATTCGCCACCGCCACTGTATTCACCAGAATCACCACTTTCCACTGAATCAAATGCTACTATATTTCCGTAAGTTTACTCTTTAACTTCCTTTTTAGGATTCCGTGCCTCAAAAGGAAAAAAACGGAAACCCTTATAGGATCACTTTGCTGTCCGTCCGTCAGTCGTTCTGTATGTCTGTCAAAACAGACAGATCTCGGGAACGCGTAGAGCTACCGAGTTGATATTGAATAATACCGTCTTATACTACAAGTATAGGGAAAATTATGAAAACTGTACATTTGTAATTAAATCATAAAAGAACAGTCTTTATACAAGGAACGGCGGTCAAAATTTTAAATTGAGTTAACCGTGTCATGTGAGGAATTGTATGAAAGGAGCTTCATTGGCACAAGCTTAAACAGATTTTTAATTAGTTTTCTGATATATAGTTTTCGATTTATGACAAATTTGTACGGAACTCGGTGGGCGAGTCCGACTCGCACTTGTCCGGTTTTTTATATTATGATCTTCATCTTCAGCTGGTTGTAAAGCTTTATTGTATCTTGTAGAATTGGCCAACAAAAACTCGCAGTTTACACGTAAAAAAAAAACATGCATAAATATTATTGAAGTAGTAGTATATTGCTCCACATAAACTTTAAAAACTTAAATCTGAGTACATCTATACTAATATTATGAAGAAGTAAAGTTTGTGTGTTTGTATGTTCGGAGTAACCTCAGGTACTACTGATCCGATTTAAAAATTCTGTTAGAAAGGTATATTATCCCTGAGCGTCTAGACTCGCCTCGGGCAAATGGTAGTGTTACATATAAAATTTTAAACACATTCCTAGAAAGTTTTTAAATAATCACTGTAACTACTGCAATTTTTTTTTTTTTTTTTTATCTACAACATACACACAACGCCATCTAGTCCCAAACTAAGCAGAGCTTGTACTATGGGTACTAGACAACAGATATAAATACATATATACTTTTTTTTTGTAAATACATACATATTATACATAGAAACACCCAGACCAAATCAAACATTAAATGTTCATGCACACAAATGTTTGACTTGAGCGGGAATCGAACCCGCAACCTCTGGAATAGCAGTCCGTTACACAAACCACTACGCCATCCGGTTGTCATTGTGGTATCTAATTGAATTAAGCTAAAATTCATGTATGTACAACATAAAACAATATTTAATATTTATTTGTAGCGAGATGTGTTTCCACCGCGTGCATGGCCGCAACGCTCGCCTTAGCCGCAACAGATTAACAGCTTGGCGTGCAACAGTTTACTCTGAATTTAACGATGCTGTACTGTTCAGTTCACGTCCACTCCGAGAATGTGACATGTTTGAACTCCGGATTGATAAAATGGTCGACTGTTGGATAGGCAGCCTCCGAAATTGGTATATATTTCAACATTAATCATTCCAGTTATTTCTTAAAAATCCTTTTTCACGTCTAGTATAGCAACATGTTTCCATAATAGGTAATTATGAATTGATTAAAGAGTTTGTTTTATTAATATCATTGTTATTATTCATTTTGTTGTGTTCTCCTTGTACCTAGAAATTTGAACCAAATTAGCATGCTTTTGTAGTTCATATTCTTTAAATATATACATTTTAAATTGGTTTTGTACATTCTAAAATTCAAAAAGTTCTGCACTGATTAAGCTTAAACTTTGATATGATATACAACCTGATTTAAAGATTGTTTTTATCTATTTTTTCGCGTCAGTTTTTATACCTTATTTCAATCACCATCAATGGAACCACAATGTGCCACAGCGAAGCTTGGCAGGTACAGTTAGTATAATTATAATTTGTGTCTGAGTCTCATTAACCATATTTCAACACAAAAAGCAATTGTTAGGTATACTTTTAGCATTTGTTGTGTGAATAGTAAGTGTTGTGAAAGACAACACTTACTATTTTGACCCCGTCGTGTATGATACCAGGTGTAACAGCTATACGCCCCGATGATTTGGAAGCGAGTGGAGGAGTAGGCGCCATAGCCGGCACAGCTACAGACCTCAACCTGGGACCACTTATATACTGAGTGGAACAGCTATGATGAAGGATGGAGAGTGCGTGCGGAGCGGATACCCTCTCGATTTAGATACATTAACTGTTGGCAGTCGTGTTGGTGAGTACTAGACAGAGTTGGATTTATAAATTAGAAGCATACTTTGCCGGTGATCACCTACGTCAGCTGGTATAAGGGTCTCGTACATGCTTGCCGGACCCGACAGGCCTCAAGTTTATTTGGTTTGACTGGCCTGTTAAGCCGGAGGTCGTGAGTTCTATTCTCACCCAGCAGAATTGTGTGGACGAGCACGATCATTATTTTGTTCTGTATCTGGGCGTATTTTTTTTTAATATATATGTATTTACAAATAGTACCTGGATGACCGAGCTTTGTTCGGCTTTTTGTTTTGGTAAATTTTCGCATTTTTTTAGCATACTAAATTTAATGAAAATCGTTGGAGACGTTACCGAGATTCAGTTAAAATATATATTAATTTTATTTACAAATCAAATAAAATTAAATAAAATATTTCAATTTAGGCAACTGAATGCACTTTTGAGTGCCAATATTCACTATTTTGCGTATAATAAGTCTTTATTGTGAGGAGAAATAAATGTTATTATTATATTACTTTATACTGCTGTTGAATTAAATGTCATACCTTAAGCGAAAAAAATATATGAGAAAAACTATTTATGAAAAACATTAATAAACGGTAAAATTACCAAAGCTTAAAATAACTCTCAATAACTAATCATCAACTCTTATAATCCAAGATATCTTGATATTCTTCTTTATTTCTAAGATGTCTTGCGGTATTAAACTTCTTTGAATATTGTACCTACATAGAGTATTTTACTTTCAAGGAGACTTTATTTTATGAGGTACTAGCTTTTGCCCGCGGTCCCGCCCCCTATCATGTGATCAAAGAATCACAACTACCTCAATACCAAATTTATCTGAATCGGTTCAGCGGTTATTGATTCTTTCTACCCCGTTAAAGGATGTTTAGAATTTAGAGGATAGAAACTATCCCATGTCCTTTCCTGGGACTCAAACTATCTCTATACCAAATTTCAACTAAATCGGTTTCTGCGGTTTAAGTGTGAAAAGGTACAAACAGACAGACAGACACACTTTCGCATTTATAATATTAGTATAGATTAGTATAGATAACTCATAAAATGACCATTTCGTGGATCGACGTTACGAATGCTAAACATGTTCAAATTTTATGAATGTTTTTTTAATAAACTTGTCACTTATAATTTAAACATTCTTAAAAATCAGCCTTAGTACATTTTCCTTCATTTTCATATTACTTTATTGGATTTCAAATTTTCGGCACTGTCTTTTTGTTGTGTTTATGTATTTAAAGACAGATGACAGTTTTGTTCACAAAATGATTACAAAAATTTAATTAAATTATTTTGGCAATTAAAAAGGACTGAATGCAAAACAAATTTTAGTATTATTTTACTAAGCTCAGCTCTAACGTACCTTTATATTTTTAGTTTCTAGTACACAAAGTTTAGTCATCTAGTGTCGAATAGATGTAACAATATTAAAAAAAAAACACTAAGGGAAGTTTCTAGAACTATTTTAATAAGTATAAAATTACTTAATAATGAATGTGATGCAATCTATAACAACAAAACGTCTATCTGAACCATATTTACATGATAAAATACAAATGTCATTCCGTTTAATTCCGTTCAATACGGACGCTGTAAGTGCTAAATTTTAAGTCACGCCCACTGTGATGACGTCAGGGACCTAGTTCGAATCACAGTGCACAGTTGCTTATCTCCTCTGTATTTGCTCCGTGGTTTGGAATAAAAAGCCCGCATTAAAACATCTAATTCTGCCCGGTTAAATGGTGTGATGTTAATGTAATTGTTGCAATTATACATGGTATACGTAATGTAAGTAATGTTGTAATGTTACAATCAGGTATGATGTGGCACGCTGATCGTAGTCTTCATTACTATTTGGACGGCATGGACATGGGCAAGGCGTGGTATGTCCCACATCTTAATATTTACGCTGTCGTCGATTTATATGGACAATGTACCCAGGTTAGTTTAAAATCAAATTGCAATATAAAAGCATAATGGTTTAGATTTTACCCAATATTTATCTAATTAATATTAGCATTACCCATTAACAGAAAATATTGTTTTTATTTATCACACTTGGTAATTACTGATTTTGTTGACATAGTATCTTTTTCATTAAATAAATGCATAATAGTTCTCAATTTGATAAGTTTATTTAATTTAATAATAATAAATATTTGCATAACATATTTACTGGCACAAATTAATTAATTTGAATTTAAATGTGCACACACATGTTATGGATACTCTTCCATGCCTATAGAATTTAACCAAGACTATTACGTAAAAGTATGAAAGCTATTTAACATTATCCTACATCACAATATTTCTTCTATTTCATTTTGTATCATGTATATTGCATTTTCATCACAGGTGACCATTCTCCAGAATGAAGAAAGAGCGTTTAACTACAACGGTTGTACAAATTCAGGACAATTCAGTTTTAAGTAACTCGAGAGCTATGTCATCGCCGCCTCCACCGTATTGGTACATATTAAACAAATATTTTTCTTTGAAATTGGACATAGAATATTTTTTATTAAAATGTTTGAACATTGCAGGAGTTTTTCTGAATATTGTGGCGACAATATATGTCTGATGCACGATTACTCCATCGCAAAACGTTTAACCCCAGACCCGATGGCGACGCTTGTATTTAGTTCAGCACATCTCGCTCTTGAAGAGATATTCGAGGTACAGTATAAATAAATAAAACTTTTATTTTACAATAGGAGTCGTAGTACCTTACATTAAGTAACTTATAAGTAACAATCATAAAAATGAAAACAACACTTACCGCTTAAAGTGCTGTCTTTCTTAGACTACGTGATATTCTGTAGTATAGGTTACACAATTTAAGTAATCAGTAGATTTAATGATAACATACACTGTTCTATGAACATTTAATTATGTTATTCACATCACCGAACGGTAAAGAACATCGTGTTACAGAAGACCGCTGTGGACTGCATCCAATCCTAACTAATATTATAAATGCGTAAATGTGATCGTTTGGGTACGGTTTAACGCCTTTGTTAGTTAACTGTGATCTCGAGAGTATAGAAATTGCCATACCTTACACAAATTTTAACTCAAGAACCGCTGGATCAATTTTTATACTCTTTGACTTGTAGGAATTGTCTCCGCCCCATATGTTAAAAAGAAAAATAATATATTAATACAGAGTAATTATTAAAAGACTGAAAATATCTCTGGCTAAAATAATAAAATTGCGAGGACTGTTAGTTGTAATAGCTTTCCTTTCTTAATGAGAAAAAAGGAGTGTTAAAAACATTGAGTAGTAGCAGTAGAACAAAGTATAATCATTGGACTGATGTATTTTCAGATCACTATAGCAGAGTGTAAATCTGGATACGCAGGTACTTTTCGTATAGGCGTTACAGATATCAACATATTAAATGCTCACGTGAATCGTAGTCTACCACCTTCGGTCTCCTGCCTTCCACATTTTACGGCCTATATTGATGGTAAGTCAGAATACCATCTTATTTTCCTTCTTTTTTTAACTGTGTTGTATTACCAGTAATGACTCCTATACGTCATTAATCTACCCATTAATACTACCTACTTGCAGATATCGTATACATAATATATTTTATTGTTTAATATTTTGCAAAGTCGTTTAATTTAATAGTGACAAACATTTCAGGCAGGTCAATGAAATATTCGAAACCTGGCACACGTGAACAAGACGTAATGACATTCGTACCGTCATTTGAATGGCTCCGGACTGGAGACAGAGTCGGCCTGAAGAAGACCAGTGATTCCAGAGTTTTAGTTTATTATAATTCAGAAGAATTAGACCTAGCTTTCGAGAATGTGCCAGATGTGAGTTCTTATGATAACATCAATAAAATCATCATTAAAATAAAATATATGTATATGCCGTTTCATCATCAACAGCCTTTAACAGTCCACTGCTAGACATAGGCCTCTCCTTAGGAAGGAGGTTTTGGCCTACTATACTATCCTATATATGTATATGCCGTTTAGTACTCTTGATTCTTTTTAACCAATGATTCCTGATGATTATAATTATTGAAAGTTCAAACCATGCAATTTATTGATGCAAAACCCGTATAAGTTATCCCGTATGTTATGTCGTGAATTTGTTACGGAGAGTTTATATATGGATATTTATTTCTATATTTAATTAAACACTATTTAAATTTCAGAAAGTGTACGTTGTTATGGAATTATTCGGACATGTGACTAAAATACAAGCCGTAAACCAAGGCAATGTTGTCGTGACGGCTGCCATGCTTGAACAGACACGTAAGCATATGGCATACACTTATATCTCGATATAGACACGTGACTTGTGTCGTGTGACGTTAATATGTTTTTTTTTGTTATTGCAGTACCTACTTGTGGTTACCTGAAATCGAACGTCGTTCAAAACCAAATAACATATATACAGAAAATATAGACGGATTGTTCGAAGCTAATCTAACGAATTTGGCAAACATATGCATGATAAGTGGCGAGTCTGCTGACGGTAGCATAGGATGGTTTGGTGGCACCGTCAGTGGAACCCAGTGGGAGATCCAGTGTGGAACCCGGTGAAGAACCGAGTGCAGCTCCTAGTGCGGAACCATCAATAGAACCTAGTGAGGCGCCTAGCCTTCGCCCAGCCCAGCAGCTAGTCCGGTACCCACCAACAGTGACATTATAATACCTAGTGCTCCTCCCGACTCGCCACCATCATACTGAACCTTCCATAGATGCTAAAGAAGAGCCCATTAGAGAGGTTTCTCAAGAGTTACAACAGGAAAATGAAGGGGGGGAGGTCGCTGGTGATGCATCAGAAGTCCCATTAGAAAAGCCAGTGACCGAGGGGGGCGAGACTGCCCTGGAGATACGTCGTCGTCGCAACAACCTGCCTTACACATTCTATTATATCCACGGCGACAATATACGCCTGTGTAGCTCCGGTAATTACTTACTACTCCTCTTTAAGTACACGCGGCTATCGTAAAACATAAATTACACTTAAAGTTGTACCTGTTTATAATTCTAATAATATAAAAAATCAAAAGAATCAACAAAGATTTATTATGGGCTGTTAAGAATGCCACGATCGTGTTGTGGCTCGGCTCATTTGCCTTACCACAAAAAATATGAAAACTACTTGTGTTCAAGATAACTAATGCCTATTATACAATATTGTAGTTGTTAGTGATACTGCTAAAAGATTACACACCAAGTTTTATTCCAAATACTTTGATCTGTATAACAGGTACCTATTTTAATTAGTAAACCACTTCCACTCGTAACTAATAACTAATATTGATGGTATCATGCGGCGGCAGTAGCAATTAAATATTTGTATACATAAAGATGTCTTTTGGGTTCTGAGGCGTTTCCATGAATTATGTCTATGTGTTTTCACATAAAAAAAAATTAGTTCCAAGCTTTCGTACGAAAAGATAATTTCTCGTAACCTGATTGGTCAAGGGGCGGATTTTGATCTATGCTACGCTATTTTCTTATCGCGAATATAGTTAGTTTAGTTAGTTAAACAATGATCGTTTTGTTTCAGATACTGTAGCTGTGCGCTACAAAGGATATCAACAGGGCATAGCAGTGGTTAGTCAACCTTTACGGCGCGGTCACAATTTTAGGGTAAGTGTCGGGGCCTGTGGCCTAACATGAATTCCAGCAAAGCGAATTTATATATTTACAGGCTATTGCTCGCGGCTTCGGCATTTGTTACTTCCTGTTTCTAACTTTGAAATGATGAAGTCGTATACAACCGTTCATTACTTATTTTACCTATAGACGTGAAATTTTCAAAAATCCTTTTTAAGTGAGTGCTTACAACATAAAAAGCCAAAATTCCAAATTTGTAACCCCAATGGCTTAAGCTCTGCTTTGGTGAATCAGTTTGTCAGATTAAGTAATTTTATGTGCATACATTATGCAATATATTAATTATTTATGGATCATATTTTCTGAGCGATTATGTTTGTTTGTAAGCAAAACTAACAATACGCAGCTGGTGAATATGTTTATGCTCTAGCATTTTCTCATTTCTCTAGCAAATTCTCTAGAATTTTAGCGAAAAGCAATATTTTCTAATTCATTGTTTACCGCTACATAATCTATTGGCCATGCGATTAGACATCACAAAATTACCTAAAACTAAATCGTCGATTTTGTCAATAAGTTTGGACCGGGATAAATAGTAGCATTTGTGCTATTCTAGAACATAATCTATCTATGTGCCAAAACTCGTCCAGATCCGGAAAGCCGGTTTCGCATGATTGAGTAAATTACGTACGTTTTAAAAAGTAAAAAAAAATGTGTCTAATTTTTTTTGATGGAGAATAACAATTGTACTGAGTTCGGAATCGATAAGAAAAAAAAAAAATGGTTCCCCATAATAACTTGTATCTCTTTTTAAGCGTAGTTTTTATTACTTTTGACAAAGAGTATTTACTGTGAATTTGAAAACGCTACTACAATAAATAATGAAGTTTAAATGAAGGCACCCTTAGATGGTTAATTTCCAAAAATCCTCTCTTAGTGCACGCCTACTTCACCTAAGGGACATTTGTGCAAATTTCATGCTTCTAGACCCCAGCGGTTTCAGCTGTGCGTTGATATATATACACATACATACTTTAAGTTGCATACATACACTCCAGTCTTGTTGAAAACAAAAATGACCAACATGACACAACAGCTGCTCTATTTAATAGGATTAGATATGTTGCGACTTACATCACATTTGAATTGTATGAATAATAGGTTAAGATACGAACCAATAAAAAAGTCCGTCTTTATTGTTGTTTCATTCTTAATAGAAAACAGTTGAGCCATGTGTCCTTTTTACGTTATTGGTTATTTCCTAACGCCTTGCAAGCCAGTTATTTGGTATTGAACCTTCTGCAATAGTGACTACAAGATGTGTCAGGTAATTTTATGTATGTTACTAGCCTTGCTATCTTTTTTTTACTATTTCTAACTAAAAAAAATGACGAACTTCCTTACGACCGTTCATTCTTTAGGCGGTTCAGGCTCTGCGTTGCTGAATCAGTTAATCAGATAGGGCAAGTAATTTAATATGTGTAGATTTAATTTGATTATACACGGTGATTTTATAGGCGTTTTGGAAACGAAACATTTTAATTTGGAATCATCTATAGTACCAATAAAAATGGTTAAAGTTAAGTTTCAGTTTTAATATTCATTTTTACTCGATCGACTTGGAAAGTAGTAATGCACTGATCATTCGTACATTATCTTATATGAATGAAAACACGTCCGTGCGCGTTTTGCGGCTGCTGCTGATAAAAGTATACCCATAGGCGCGAGCTAACGAGTACTTACGTAGATAGACGCCAGTTTGTCCTTCATACTTTACACGGGCTTAGGACCGTCGGAAAATACCTATTTTATTTAAACTTCTTTTCGATTATTAACCACAATTGTTCTTTTCACAACAAATCGATTTATCAACGGACTGTAGGTATAAATATTTCAGGCGTATTTAAAAAAATCGGAGCTATCTACAGAATAATTAACTTACATACCTATTTACAGTTTATTTACACTATTTACACTTCTCTGTATCGAAGCAACTGCTCAAAATGGAGTTCGCTGCGTTCAATACACAAACGTCCACGTTTAATGCAATTGTTTTTAATTTTTTAATGTGTCTCCATCACTTTTCACCTTATCAAAAGCGTCCACTATCGCAATGCGTAAATCATCACGGCTTTCAATATTCCCGTGTATAAACAAGTCTTTTATTTCCGACCATAAGAAAAAATCCAGGGACGTTAAGTCTAGGTGGCCAAGGCACAGGCCCTCCTCGACCTATCCACCGATCACTAAACTCATTGTCCAGGTATGCACGCACTACACTCGCGTAATGAGCGGGACAGCCGTCGTGTTGGTAGTACATACCTCTCGAGTAAGCTAACGGCACATCGTCTACTAACTCAGATATTACTGTCCTTAACATCTCTAAGTACGAGTTGCCGGTTAGATGACCTTCAATAAAAATAGGCCCTATTATGGTCGTTAATAATACCGGCCCAAACGTTCACGTTGAAACGAACCTGATGATGGTATTCTCGTATCAAGTGGGGGTTAATTAGAGCCCTGTAATGCTCATTGTATAGTCCCACTCGAGTAAACAGTGACTCGTCCGTCAGAGTATGTTGGCGTTTGTATTATTTAACAACCACTGGCAAAAGGCGATTCTTGCCGGTGCGTCAGTGTTGTTTATTACGTGAGCCTTACGAAAATGATACGGATGTAATCCTTGTGTACGTAATATCTTCCATACGAAGTTTTGGCTAACATCGAATTCTCGTGCTGCCATCCTTGTGCTCCGCCGGGGATCGCGCTCGAAGTACTCAAGAACATCTTCTTCCAACTCCGGCGAATAATAATTTAAACGTCCTTGACCTTGCCGCATGAGTAGGCGCACGAAATTGTCCGTGGTCGAGAATGACGTTGGGTTGCAGCCAAGATGGTAGGTGTGGAGGGAATTTGAGGGCTTTCAATTCCATGTAGCCGTAGTGCATTTAAATGCTCCGGCTGGGAATACAAACGCGAGCCACTTCCAAGTTGTAGTTGGCAGTAACGTACAGCTGTAGCATTGCCAAGTACTCCACGTTTTGAAAATTCGTTATTGTCGGCTCATTTTAGCGCTAATCAATGTAGCGTGCCGTCACGATGTTAAGCAGGCGTCCACACTATGCCGGAGTAATGCGGGCGGGCTGACCCGGGCGGCCTAAGCCGGGCGGGTTCGTTCGGGCCGGCACGACGTCCACACCGAAAACGAGGCCGCCCGGGTTATATCTACCTATTAGTTTCAATTCGACACCAAGACTAGACAAACTAAAGCCGCCCCGGTGCCGCTCGGCACGTCCCCATACATATTTTCGTTCGGCTCGGGCCGGCATCCTTTGATCTGTACCTACTTTCTGCGGGTTGGGATCGGCTCGGCTCGGGCCGGCTTTTTAAGCCGCCCGGGGCGTCCACACCAACCCGGCTTAGGCCGCCCGGGTCAGGCCCGCTCGGCCTCGCCCGGCATAGTGTGGACGCTGCTTTAATGGTATTACTGACCGACTGAAAGCGAAGGACGCCTCACGATTACAGGTGTGTCCCGCGCATGCGCCTACGGGGCATACGACTTTGGACGTTGGACGACTCCGGCGCAACTCGGTAGTTTTGTTTTTATTGTCGAATACGATTTTATGTGACTCGATATTAAAACGCATAGTATTTCTATTTGTAGTATTTACCTACGTGTGATTGAATAGCGCTACTACTGTTTCTCACTTTTTCTCTGTAAACGATACGAATATCGACTTTCATGAAAAAAATAATAATAATAAATTAACGTTATATATAGCTTCTGTTATTGATAAATAATTCAAAGTTTCTGTTCCAAAACGCTTTCAAAATCACCGTGTATAGAACAAAATAATTACAAAAAATATAGTTTGGATGCGAAATCCCAAGGCCAAAGCAGTGGTACTGATACATTGATTGTGCAGCATATTTATTGCATTCTTTCCTTGTTACAGTTTCGAGTGGACAAATTAGACTACGATTGGTGTGGCACAGCCGGTATCGGTGCTGTGGGTGTCCTGCCCATAGAGCTGCCAATGAGCGCCATACACCTAGAGACACCTTGCTGGATTCTCACTAGTGATCTTCTCAACGATAATGGCGTCTTTGTTAGTATCTCTTTGCCAAGTTACTCATAATACCTTGCCCTTTTTTAATTTTTTCGGCAGTATACGGTACGATGTCCTGGACTGGAGTTACTGGCTGAACTAATTAAAAACGCGTGACCTTCATCCTGATGACGCAATAATCAACAAATTTCGTTCGATTCGAGTTTAATAAAAGGGGCAACGTGTGATTACCGCGCCGCGTGTACAGCTGATCGCCGCCTGAGGTCAATGTATTATGACTGCATTTACACATGATATTGCAAATTGCGAAAACAAAATAAATGTTCTGTTTCTAAACCACTGAATATTTTTTGTTCATATTTTGCAAATCGTCTAGAAATAAAGTGCAGAATATGTGGTTTACAGATTCGTTAAAGGATATATCACAGTCTGTATATATATTTATATAGATTATATTATATATATATATATATATATCAGACTCAGAACAACAATTTGTGGATTACACTAAGTGTAGTCCCACGTGGGGATCGGACCCAAAGCAATCAGCGTAGTAGTAAGCGGCGTGGCGACCGATTAAACCACTACGCCATCCGTGCAGTCTATATATATATATATATACAAAAGTTTGTATTGGTTGTTTTGAATCTGAGCAACTGATGCCGTCCTGTGCATGGTTGTATGAAGCAACATGGAATATCTCTTTGATGCATCAGTAGTTCTAGAAGGTTCTATGTAACATCAATTTCATTTTGTTTATTTCCAGACTATCTCTTTGATGGAATGGCGCTTGATAACTTGGCTGAACAGTCCTGTGCTGACTATCCACTTTCGCTTCAATAGCGAACTAGTTCTTGAAATCGATGGTAAGATCATCGGTGCCATTGGAGTTGTGCCGCGACGCTTCAGCCATATCTTCCCCACAATTGATCTTTATGGGAGAATAGCTCAGGTTTGTATTCTGTTTCTTTTATACGAGTCTGTCCTTACAGTCTGTTGATTTTATAGTGAAATAACCTAGCCAAGATACCTTTTCTTTAATGTATTGCATTGTTACCTAGTTACCATTTTTAACCATTTGGTGTATTTAAATATATAAAATTGCTTTCAGGTATCAGTACTGCTTCATCCTTACGTTGTTACCAGCGGCGCCTCCCTTGACTTACCTATAATTACTGAAAATCTTTGTGAGGATGAGTTTGCAGAACAAGAATTATTTGATGGAGATAAAGAACCTGTGCCGGCAGTAGAGGAGATTGCCTCAGCATTGGAATTAAGCCGACCAAAGAAGAAACCCAAGGCATATAGCCAGGAAAATCTTATTGAAGAACGCTTACCTCCAATAAACATCGAGGCTGGTCCAAGTACAAAACCAGATCCGGTACCAGAGCCAAGTAGCAGCTCGGCAGCCGATACTAAGATTAAAGAAGTTAAGTGTAGAAAACAATATCCAAACCGTACATCTTTACATCATAGTCTTATTCTGTCAGAAAACCCTCTCCCCGCAAATAATAACGAAATGGTCAATCGTTGCATACAAAAGAGTCATTCCACCCACAGTTTCTGTCAAATCCCTGATGAGAATGAAGGTAACGGGTTACGGCATACATTTAGTGTTGGCTCTCACGTTGGAGATGATACAGACAGAGTGATTCATGAGAATTTTTGCGATACTAACATCCGTCATAATGACCGTTACCCCGAGGGCCAGTGATGTAGACAATCTCGACACTGAACTTATGGACGGCCTGACAATGGAACCAGGAAACTTGCCAGATTTGACCGAGGAACAATCATCTTCGATTGACGAATCTACTCGTCGCGATGATTTTTGGTCTCATTCTCTTTCAGTTGAGAATATGCACTATTTGAATCGTATACTGTGTTTAGATCAGGAGGGCATTGAGGGACAAAGCCTCGAGTCTGAGTGGGAGGCTTCGGGGGAAGGATGTGAGCACTTGCACTTGGTGTTAAAGTATTGGAACTACTTAGTGCTGCCGTATCCGGAGCTAAGGCAGGCGGTTTTCGTGGGGCCAAGTAAACTGTTACTGCTCTAACTGTCAACCTGATGCAGTACCGCCGCTTGCTGGTAAGATTATTTATTTTATTTATTTAAAACTTTATGCACAAATGTGGCAAAGGCGGACTTAATGCCGTAGGCATTTTCTACCAGTCGACCTTAGGGCGATGCAGAGCCAAACGTGGTAGATGCACAGAAATTAAAAATGTGATTTATTAAAACTATAGCATATATAGAATATCATATAACCAGAGTACTTATATAAATAACATTGGAATAATTTTAAAGATAAATACAATAAGTAATACACATATAATACTAATACACATATACATAAATATAGATACATATGCATTTATATACTTAAATACACATAATATATATTCTAAATGGAGAGGGTATAAAATGTTTTTATTATATTATTATATGTTTGTATATGTTATATGTTTGTTATGTATGATTATATGTTTTTTTTTAATAATATTTTTTTATTTAAACTAAGCACTATTAAAAACATCCCGTGTTTTGCAGGATGGGTCCGTATCGAGCGCATTGACGGCGTGGGCGCTGCCCAGCGTGCTTTCTGGCACGTGGTGCGCTCGACCCTGGGCATGGCGCAGATGGCGAGTGCGGAGCGTGGGACCGTACGGCGGCCCCTTTCGCTTACCGGAGCCCCATGCACCTCTCCTGCGCTTGCTGATATGTATGTATACTCGTATATGCCTTTATGAAAAAAAAAACCAGTAGAATTAATAACCCCTACTGCTCATATTTGTTTTTGTTTTACTGACTGATATACATAAATACCTATATAAAGTTTGGGAAAAGACATCTACATCTATTTTAACGAATTGAAATTTACTTACTGTGATACTCTCAAGAACATTCGTTATCGATCCTTTTTTCAGACAGTCAAATTATATTAAGTTTATATATTTAAGTACAAGGGAATCTTTTGGAAACAAGTATTTATCTGTCTTTATTTAATGTAATAATTACTATATTTTTATAGAGTAAGACTTAATACAATAATTACTTTCTAAATACAAACTACTTACAGATGGCTGGACGAGGAAGGAAAGCCGCACCATACTGTATTGGCTATTGAAATTGATGTTGAGTAAGTAGTTTCATATGGCATTGTAATAGTAACGGCAAAAATTTTAGTTTAAAAAAACTAAAAAATAGAAAATAAATTTGAAAAAAAGCGTGGGGTGCTTTTTACTATTGACAACAGGCACCCAACGCTTTTTTTCAAATTTATTTTCTATTTTTTTAATTTTTTTATTTTAAATTAGTGTATTGTCATCGGTCCTCGATATATCTACAAAGTTTGAACGAATTCTGACCGTTTAAAGTCAGTCAAAATCACGCCCAAAGGAGTCGGTTACCAACATACAAACAAACATACAAGTGAAACTAATATAAAGCGTGTAAAAATAAAAAAAATAGTATCAGGACTATTTTTTTTATTTTTGGGAAAAGCACTCGGTCGCTAGTCTGGAATTGGGTCCCGGCTCTTAGTGCAGTGCAGTGCAGTGAGGACTCGGTTCAGCACACGCTGGCAATTTGCCCGGCTATGGCGTCGCAGCGTAGTGTTCTCATTGCAGTCATCGGAGGGGATCTCTCGCTACTGGCCATCACACGCTCCATGTTCAGTAATAACAGAAGTTTTACTGCGGTTGCATCTTTCTGCGAAGACTTCATCTCGCAGACCCGGGAAGACAACCGGGCGACGGAGACGCGCTTACCAGCGCCTCATGCCGCCCCGAGTGTTGCCGCGGGTGGACGGGGACGGGTTTTCCCACCCATCCGCTATAGTGGCCAGCGGCGAGGAGTAGACATCGCTTAAATAGAGAATACACCCGAAGGTGGTGCCCGTGCTATTGCGGGCAGGCGCTAGGATGTCTTAATAACAGCAGTTCCCGGATCCCTCCTATTTCAGGCGCAGAGCTTCACACCGTGTGGTTTCCATTTAAAAAAAAGCCTAATCCTGGGCCTTTGCTACTATGACGGGGAAAATGACTGACCATTACGTGAATATTATAGTCCATTCGCGTGTTAGACGACGTATTGAGGATCATTAAAGATGTCTAGATCAAACCCCGCACCTTGACCAATCGGGTTAGAAGTTTTCGTACGAAACAATAATTTCTTGGAACCTGATAGGTCAGAGGGAATTGATCGATGCATCACTATTTTCTTAAAACGAATGGACTACAGTTAGAATTATTTTTAATGTAATTTTAATCGCAAGAAATATTTTTAGGGGTTCTGAAGCTGAACACGACCGTCTGCTGGCATTCCTGATTTACCTTAAACCGAACATCATATTTGCCGATGAAGACCACCCACCGAGTCTTGACGAATAAACGTTCTACAAAAATACAGCATTTTGTAATACCTATTTTAGACTAAGTATTCTTTAGACCCCTGCTGGTCACAATGAAACGAGCTCTGAATATATTTACGTTGTATTATGTATTTTATAAAGTCAGGCAACGAAATCGTATGCCCAAAATATATTGTCTGACATGTCATTGTGACAATTTATTATAATCAAGACTTTGAAATGAACAAATATATAAAAAGATTTACATAGGTGTTTTAAATGTATTTATTTTGTTCTTGTACACCGACGATCTGTTCTAAAGATGTAATAATTTATATCCAGTAGTATAAACATCGGTGTTACGACTAATCTTCGATATTATTATCGAGTAAGTGACACATATTGGTTGTATTTTTAGTATTAATATTATATTAGTGATCTAACTATACTTTATTGTCATGAGCCGTCTATGGACGTCCATGTAGCAGTGTTTTTTGATCTCAAAGTTCAGTATTTTCCTGTTTGTGTTGTTTTTATACATTGATTGAATATGATTGAAAGAGAAATGAACTTCCGACCATATGTAAGAGTATTTACTCTGGTGCTTGTATGCGGTGGTGTTTGCGAACCGTCGCTAGAATTGTCGTAGTCATCCATAAAGATCACTAAGTTTAACTTGCGGTCCCCTAATTAAAAGTAAATTAAAAGACAAATATGTACTAAGAACAAGGTTCTTAGTCTTATTAGAAGTAATGATAATAAATCAATTTCTAAAGTTGGTTGTGCTGACTCGAGGCATAATATATTGTCTCAGCTAAGTTAAAAGACCTCAAGTTGATCATAAATTCCATTGGAAACGATGTAAAAGAACTGCGACCGTAGTTCGACTAAAATATAGGTCAGATACGGCATTGTGCGGTATCGAAACCGAAGTAGATTAATATTAAACTTATTTGTAGTCCTCGGTTTAGGCAAACCGAGTTTTTGATATGCGGATCAATTTGCCGTGTATGTTTACACACTTTAAGGTCAAAACACACTGTACAGTCTTCTACTAGTCACTTGATACTAATGTAATGCGTAATGGAACTTATCCTCCACAGGTTATATAAAGTATTGAAGTCTTAAGCACATTACTTTCATGATCTCGCTTACTTTTTATTTTTTACATTTCTCAATAATTTCTTTAGTGATTAAATGATTATTTATTATCTTAGATATTCTGCGTCGCTGAGGATGTGTTCACAGTGGTAATGCATAGTTTCGGGAACAGTTTAGCTTTCGGATGCTGTTTGATTATACGTTACACGAGATGGTTTTTAGGGTCACGCATGCTCTGTGAACGGGCCCTCATTGATACTGACAACGTTTCAAGAGGTTACTGTTTGCTCCTAGACGCGAATACTTCCACACAAAAACACTTCCATTACACACGGTAGTTTTTATTATCCAACTTGGATTTTATTTCGCAGTAGCGACTACTATTAAATGTATCTATCTATATTAAGGTAATACATGTTTTCATGTTGTTCGTAGGTAGCTGGCGAAATATTCGCACAATCGATATAATAATAGAAATTTTGATGTGTACTTGGAATGTTGTCAAAACTAATGCTTATTACAATAGAGTTAATAACTGATTCAGCTCATAAATGCTTTTACATGTGAACATGGCTACGTACTCAATACAAGTATGTTAATTGTATCATTAAATTCGACGAATCGATGATAGAGCAGTGCATGTGTAGTAATTTATTGAATTTCTGTGTGTATTGATTATTTTCTGAACAAATAAACGGTCATCTTAAGTATTTTTTTGTATACTATATTTCATAATCGTGTAGTAACCTAAGATTGAACGATTCGATTAGTACGATTTTCGATTAGTACCAGTAGTATTCATGTAGAGTAGATAGCATCTTATTAAATAAACGTCCTGAGATATCGACAAAAGAATTCAACATAAGGACCCTAGAATAGTAATCCTCTTTTTGATAATGATGCATAAAGTAAGGGGTTTTGTACAACGTGGTTATTCAAAAGTTTGCATTAAAATAAAATGGCAGAAAACAGCGCCCAACATGTTTTCAGTTTTCAAAATATAACCAATAATTAGAACTCAAGTCTTATGGTGTGGTTAATTATGTACTAATTTTTAAAATTTTGCGTTCAATAACATGTAAGTATGACAAAATTAACGAGATCACTTATTTAATAGTCATTACACCTCTAAACTTTTTTTTATATAAAAGAACTCAAACCTGATTGAAACTTAAAATATTACATACAATATTTACGCCTTAATTTTATTGCTTTACCTAAAGCCCATCAAAGAAATTATCCGGCAGATTTATATTACGTTAGATGTATGAATTAATTGAATACTCACCATTTTTAAACTATGTACTTCATTTTTATTTAAACAACAACAACTTTATTGATTTATGTTATCATGATTATGCAGTAAATAAAACAGTAGTATCTAAGCCTTGCTCACGACACGAGTAGTTAATATGTTCAGATCAATTCAATAAAAAGTAGTTATTAGGTGACGTAAGTATCCCCGGAATAGGGCCTGGTTAGGTGCGACGTCGTCGATTCGGTGGAGACCTGAAATCACACGAACCGGGTACTCCTCCGGCCTTCGCGGTGGTTTTTAGTGGAAACACCACATATTCCTGGCTCCTGTGTCCCCCAGAAGCCGCAGATCTGAAAGTATTTTCCCCGTTGCCAAAAAAGAAAAATGGGAAACCACAAACTACAAATAGTAAAACGAAGAGTTAAAAATGTCTATAGAACCCAGTGAAAACTCTTTCATTTTTCTCTAGAAAGGTCTTCATGCTTTCGGATAATCTGCAGAGGGCTTAGTGCTCGGTCATTTTACATCCACTCGATCTCGACAGCAAGCGCGTTCAGCGTTGCGATTGGTGAAGATTTCAGTGCGCCCTAATGGCAGCGCCGAAGGCGGTCACTGTGACGATCGTGTAGAAGTGAAATAAAACTTATACTCGGGTCTGTAAAGTAGTTCTTCGGAATTTTAAGAAATATAAATATTTATTTGTCAATGTAGGTAAAAGTAATACACACCTCAGCAGAATTAGCGAAACATAAAAAAAGGGAAGAATTCAAGTATTTTTTCGTAACACGCCGGTTATATTACTCTTTTTAATTTTAGGTTTAATTTGAAAACGGAACATCAGTGGACAGTCATTTTTTTCATTCATTTGCTTTAATTTTTTCATTCATACAGCTCTATCGACTGCTTCGAAGTTGATTTTCTATTTTCGTAAAGTTCGTAAATTTCATTTGAAAAACATTGTATTGCAGGTTTATGAAGCTTTTGTGTTTGCTCGCATATTGATCAGTTACGAGCATCTAAGCATGCCTGATTCAATACTATCAGAAATCATAAGGGTAAATGAAATGAGAAGAAATGGTCGATCCTACAGATCGATTGCTACAAGACTTCGTCGATCGTCGTCGAACGGTACAGATTGACGAATTCTCTAGCGGGGAGGAGAAGCGTGCATGAAAAGGTGTACTTCAAGGAGAGATGACCGTTTTCTACAGTCTCGTGTCCCGACTTCAAGTTCGTCGGGACACGAGACTGTATTAGAGGAGGTTTGAGGAGTAAGAGTGAATGAGCGGACAGTTCTCAGAAGTCGGTATAGGCTCATTTGTGCCCGTCAAAGCACCAAAATCGATACTTTGCTCGTGAACATCGTCATTGGGACTTCGACCAGTGGGGTCAGGTTCTCTTCACTGATGAATGCATAATTCTGATAAATCAGATTGATGGAAGGTAGCGAGTATGGACACAGTCTAATTTTGAAAACACAGTGAGTCAATATGGCGGCGGCTCAATTGTGGTCTGGGGAGGGATATGTTTAGAACGCACGGAGTTTGTGGTAGTCGACGACTTGAATCTGACTGCTGATCGATATATATATATATCAGGGAGATTTTAGAAGAAACATGCATTTGCCCCTTTTATTGCCAACGCTGGATTTTAAAAATAGAAATGATTGTGTTTTGTTGTCATTAAATAAAAGCTAATAATTTTTTTCCCGATTTCATGCTTTTTCGTTGCTTATCTTATATTTAGGTATTTATCTCACTTTTATCATTTTGAATGCTCATGATGATGAAACACAGAGAGCTGTTGGAATGCTACAAGAAGAAAGAAACCAGCCCCAGGTATCTCAGCATTTTGGTGACAATAGGAGCGTGATTTGTTGTCTTTGGCAGAGAGCAACCTACAGAGGATCCTGGTAAGAGTCCGTGTGGTGACGGATTAAGAATACGGAATGTCACCACCCCTATTCATCATATGGGTGTCGTAAGAGCCGACTAAGGGAGCAAATTACGTACGACAACAGCACTGCAAAGAGAAGGAAAAGTTGAAACAAACCCTGTACCAACCCGTTTGGCCAGCGTGGTATAGTAGGCCAAAACCTCCTTTTTAAGAAGAGGCCTATGTCCAGCAGTGGACTGTTATAGGCTGTTGATGATGATGATGATGAGCGGATCCTACTGTTCAGCACAAAGAACGTGGAAGGAGTACAACTGCTCGACAGGCGGTCCTGTCGAGCAGTTGTCGGTCACAAATAGAACTGACTGCAAGACATCAGCCGATGTTAACTGCCCGGGAGATAGGTTTAAAGCTACAATTCTCAAGCGTGTTGTTGTTAGCCACCAAACCGTGAGAAATAGGCTGCATGAATACGGCCTACGAGCACGACACCCAATTAGGTACCTATAAGGCGTAGGAATGGCGCCCATGTAAACGAATGGTATAGAGAACACTTGACATGGACCCACGAGCAATGGGACAAAAATATTTTCGATGCGTCCCGATGGTTTGGATTTAGGCTTGATACGAGATGGGTAAGAGGATATCGTCTCGGAAATGCTGAACAGCGTCCAGGAAGTGCACCCTTACAGTGGCTCGATAGTGATGGTATAGGCGGGTATTTTGAGCTTGTTTTTGTAGATGGCAATATGAACGCTGAAACTTAGGTCAAAGAGGTCCTCGGGCCTAATGTTCACCCATTTGCACACTCTTCGCTCAGATTTCACGCTGATGCATTACAATGCACGATTGCACACAGCTTGGAGGACCCGAGAGTACCTACTTGGCAATGGAAAACTTCAAGATATTGCCGTGCCCTGCACAATCGCCAGACCTCAATCCCATCGAGCACGCATGGGACATGCGCCAGAGACGTGTTCAAGAGAACCTAGACGAAGTGTTGACAACTCAACAACTGAAAGACTTTTTAAAATTCCATTAGGGGCGATTGCCGCAGTATCAGATAAACAATCTTATAAATGCAATGAAAAATCGTTGCCGACAAGTTTTAAACAACAGAGGCGGTCACACTTTGTATTGAATTATCAAATAATTAGTCGTTATTTAATTTTGTAAAACATGAAAGTTTACTTTCGTATTAACTTTATTTTATACTACACATGTTACAGTACACATATTATAAATTGTGGTGGTTAAATGAACAACTGAATGAAGGATTTTGTTGCTTTAGTCACTAATGCATCAAAGAATGCTTAGTTATTATTTATAAAAGAAATATAAATATATTACAATAGAAAAAATCGTTCATTTTCGTAACCGTACATAGTCTAAGGTATAGGTACCTTAGACTTTTTTTATGTGTATATTTTGTTTTGTTTGAATGAAAAGCAGTGAATGATAAAAACGATCTTATATTGGTGTTTCAGTGATTTACAATAATACGATTGTATCCAAATTGTTATTACTAGGTACTTAAGTTTAAATTAAATTATCACTGCTCGTTTCATAATCACGTTATGTGAGAATCGATACAGTATTACATATAATAGCACTAGTGGCCGCAGTTATTTATTACCAATTATTTTAATATAATAATAATATTAGTGGCTATGGCCAGTTGCCCGTAACCGCGGCATTGAATAAATACGAAACTTTAAGTTGTAATAATTCAATCCTTTGTGACAGTGCAGACTTAAACAGTTGATCTGATGAGGTGCTACAAATTAAAATAATACATAATTTACCCGTCGAATAAGTAATTGTTTTGTGCTCAGTCTAAAATCTCGCCAAAACTAGCTTTATTTGAATATAGCTTGAGATAAATAAGTAAAATTATCTATAAACATAATTCAACTATTCTATTTACAAAGTTTAACCACATCAAAATCTTGGGTGACACCTAAACATCCATTAGACCCATATGGTTGTAATAGTCGTAGGTACATTGACTTACGCCAGGCTAGAAACGAGCTACAAATATCTGCTATCATGAAATAAATTGCTTGGACAAATAGTGACAATACACAACTATTTACCTGTGTCATTAATTTAAAAAAGTTATCATATTCAAAGATATGAAGAGAATCGTCGTTAGCTGTCAAGTAGCTCGTCGGGTTTAGTGGAGTCCGCGGCGTTCACGCACCGACGAGTTCGTCTCAGCGTTCGAGAAAACAGAGGTGTAAGTGGCACTACACACTTTACACTTATGGGCAGGGTTCATGGGCGACCCGACGGGACATTTGAAATCGTTTGCGAACTCCTCCATGTTGGCCAATGGACCGATGACTCGGAAGCGTCCTGGCGCGTGAAAGCCTGTCGTGATTCGCAGTTTGATCGCCTCGTTACGGTACACCGCGCACCAGGTGTTTGCTGCGCTCAGCCAGAACAACTGCAAACATTTAATCAAAGTTATGATCCAATCGATGCGTCACTGATCGCTATCTAATGAACAGTTCGAGTACAATATACCTAATGCTATTTATGACAGTTTGCATATAGTTTAGAGTTTACAATGTTTGAATATATAATAATGTTTTAGGTTGGCACTATTAAATAACTGTATGTACGAGGATGCAACAATCATGCTTATCGTAAATATTTTTAGTCCACACATTCATAAAATCTGTTTTTTGTAGATGTTCTAAAATTAAATTGTAATTTATAATAAAATATTTATTATTTGTATCCTTTTTGCAAGGACGAAAATACGCCTACCTTCCAAATAGCCTGTTTCGATAACTTTGATCAGAACGACCATAATTAACGCAATTATGTTAACTGATATTTTAAATGTGTGCCGAATTTAATTACGAACAAAGAAATTTTAATCGCGATATATTTGGTCAACTAATAGTATAAAGAGAGTGAATTTCGTGACGTTTTGTGATTAATTCGTTGAAAAGTAATCCTCACCTTGCAATTATTTGAGCTAATGCATAAGCTTTTAATGTTTTTATCCACCGAATGTGTACGTCATGATTTTAATGTATACCTAAATTAAACCTAATAATTGTTAGGCAGTCCGTTTCATACATTGGAGTGACCCATTTAAGTTATATTTACTTATATGTAGGCTTGATTGGCTTGTTGTCCTTAGGCTTTTCCACAATGGCAAGCATAAGGACCAAGCAATGAAAATGATTAAACATATTTTACTAAAACTTTTAACCTGTTTGGGGGTGTACTTCTCAAGACCTGGAAGCCGAGCCTCTTCTCCATGGCGATTCGTCCAAGCCTGGTAAGCGTAGTATGCCTCTTTAATTCCACCATTGTCAGCAATATTCTCACCTTGGGTGTTCACTCCATTCAACTAAAAAATACGTAAGTTTCTAATTGCTAAATATTTAAATTTTTATATCTTATTTTTTAAATATTAGATATAGAAATTTAGAATTTTTTGCATATTTTAAACATGTTGGTACCTTTAATCCCACTTCACTCACGGTGTAGTTAGAATACTGATCAATGATACATTTGGCTTTCTCAAGATACTTCTGTTTGGTCATCTCTTGCCACCAGTCAACTAAGTTTCCATTCTGGTCAAATTGACGGCCCTGTGAATAAATAAATTTAAATTACATAAACTGCTAAAATATAAGTTATTATAGCATTTCAAACATAAAAATCAAGAACATAGATCATTAAAATTATCTAAGTACTTAGTAGTACCTGTAGTTTTACATGTTAGGTATGTTTAGACTTTTTTGTATAGAATATCATGCTACGATATGTTACAAGAGAAATAGCGTTACCTGATCATCAAACCCGTGTGTGATCTCGTGGCCAATTACAAAGCCGATAGCTCCATAATTCATGTAGGCAGGTCGCTTGGCTGAGAAGAAAGCGCCTTGCAGGATTCCGGCAGGGAACTCTGTTAGAATGCAAATACAAGGTATAGCTATTTTTTTCGAAGATAAGAATTATAATAACCTCGGCACACATTACTGGTATTCCTTTTAACCCTTTCAACTAAGCTAAGTGCTTGTGTTAAAATGGATTCGTATCAGTAGTGTACTAACGGGAGTTCGAGTCAAGTCACTCAACCGCAAGACCTTTGTCTTGACTATTACGCTAGTTAAACACCAAATGGAACAGCTTTCAAATACAAATGTAACTTTTTCCAATACATATTTAGTTTGAAACAAATAGTGATTTATTCAATTTGTTGCTCAGCGTCAGCATTTATTTGCCTGATGAAAGCAGTTCCAGAATCTTCTGACTCAACTCCTTATTTACGTCGTCCTTCCTACTTCATAACTTAGGTACCCATACGAATTATAACACAAATATAATTACATATCGGAGCAGAAGGTCTTACACTGGTAAAATAAAGTTTAATTATTAAGAATATTTTTATGTGGATCTTACGGATACTGTTTTCAATGGAGGAGTAGAAAGCATTGACGATAGCGGGGCGTCCGTGGGTGACCCAGTCGGTCTTGTTAACGGGCTCTCTGAGCTTGCTGAACAGATACTCAGTGCCGAACAATGTCAAATTAAGTACCGACTCCATTAGCTTGTCCGATGACATCTCCAACTGGAAACAAGGCAAAGGCATTTATATGTATTACATTGTAGCAGGAAGATTGGGTCGTTCGATCTTCCCGCTACAACATAAAAACGTAGAGTGGATAAAACACTGTTTTACATACATTTCTTGCGTTTATTTTATTAGATTCAAGATACCTCGATTATTTTTTATAGTAAATTTTTAAGGAGGAAAGTATTCTTTATGTCATAAGGTAATTAATGAAATTAGTAAATTTCCACAAAAAATATTACATTATAATAAAATAAAACAGGTAAATTCATCTAAAAAAATTACAGAAAATATTAGATTTTCAGTGATATAATAAGCATATTTGGAACCTACCCCAGAGTAGAATTTCGTCAGTTTATCGTTATCAAGCATTTCACTGGGGTAAGCGATGTGTGAGGCCATGGAGTCTGCCTTTTCGAGAGCAGCCTTACGGGTCTTATCATCCATCCACTCCACCTCGTTCAAGGTCTGACGGAACTGTTGCCTACAAAAATCTTAGGTTATAGAAATCCATTCTAAGTATAAAAGTGTAAGTGAAGGTTGAATGTGTACGCAGTTAAAAAATCTTGACCAACAATATCCAAGGAAAGTGTGAGACTCCATTCTTAATGATCCACAATAAAGATTACTATGACTATAACCATTACTACAGTAGTTTACGAGTCTTACTTGGGCTTAAAAAACCCTGAATATTAAATGGCTAAACTATGTCTTAGCCATTTCAACTTCCTGGATTATATATGAATAAATAAAGAGACAACAGAGACTTCACACATGACATCGCGATAGCTTTCCACCTGTACTCTGAGGAAGAAATTTAAGCCGACCTGTTAGTGGGGTGACTAACTGCCAATTTTGTCACAATGAGCCATGACAGCTTATCAACTTCGGATAGGGTATTTAAATCTATAATCAACTTTCCTATCAATGTAATCTATATAAGAATATTAACTTACTTGATATCGTTCACCATTTCCAACGCATTGGCTTTAGAGTTCTCATTAAAATATTTTCTGATGTAAAGAGCACCTACTGCAATAGACATACTGAAAAAAAAACAAACACATAATTAACCATCCGATTCAAAGGTGAACTAATAGGCCGATATAATATGCTTCATCATCATCATCATCATCAACAGCCTTTACTAGTCCACTGCTGGACATAGGCCAACAACACTGCAGAGAGAAGGAAAACTTGAAACAAACCCTATACCAACCCGTCTGGCCAGCGTGGTATAGTAGGCCAAAACCTCCTTCCTAAGGAGAGGCCTATAATATGCTTGGGCTTCAATAAATATAACTAAAACATACTACAAGTTAAAGCAGATAAGTTTTACAAATAACGGTACAGTTTTTTGGTAATGCAAAACACTACGAATGTGTAAAACTTAACATACTAAGGATAAAATAATAGCATTCCTTATACGTAATATAAAATATTCCTATTTAGACATATATAATAATACGTATATCAATTTACGTGCAATAGCTTAAGTAACTAATTGCGAGTCTAGACATCGGTACCATATCATTATTTTGTTTCTGAATTGTTCAATATTGGTTTCATACCTGGCACTGGTGTTGTCGGCGCACTCCTTCCATCTGCTTTCTCGCTCTGTTTTCCCAGATAATGCTGTGACGTAAGCAAGTTGCCTTCGTCGAAGGTTGTCAGTTAGATAAGACACAGATGCACCGGCGACACGCCACATAACATAGTTGGCTTGCACGCGCTTAGGCGTTGTTTCCAAAAGGACCTTTCAAAACAAGCGAAAAATGTTAATTTATGTGTTCTAAAAGTGCTTTTTTCATGATTAAAGTGCTGATTTGTAGATGGAATATTAGGAACTTCATAAATGTTTATATGAAAAAAACCGCCATTATTATTACTAAGTATTGTTTCTATTCCGATTGCAATATTGAACATTTTAAAATCTACCTAGCTATTTATTATATGTATTGTTATATAAGGTTACAACTAGAAAAGAAACTGTAAGAGAGAACTAATAAATTTCGTTCGTAGTTTTAACCTCGAAATCATTGACTTGTGTTTAAAATATCCCCCAATCTTGGATGTATCATAGAGAAGAGTGAAATTCAGTGAAATTCGTGTTATAAATACTGAATTATACAAACCTCGAGATCTGAAATGTATTTCGGTACACTGACGATGGTAACTTCATCTACTCCAATATTGACATGCGGTGTGAGAAGACGGTTAATGTACTCCAGCCATGGGATTCTGTTACAAAACAGTAAATCATATAATTACATTGCAGTAAAAACGAAACGCCGTCATGAGAACTTTTAACCGCTGGCTCTGACATAAACAATTCCGACTTCAATTACAGTCAAAAGTAATTTTCAACAATGGAATCTGTTACAATTATTTTTCGTAAAGTTAGATATTTTCAGTGAAAACAATTTTGAATCAATATTTTTCACTTTTGGTTAAACTATAAATTCAAAGCTACTTGTCGGACTTTTTCTCGTTAAAACTAGTTTCGGTTTTCGTTTTGAATACAACCTATACTATATATTTTGTAAAAGGTCAAAAATATCCTTGTAAGTGATACTCACTTTAGGGAACTTCTCTTGTAATTCTGCAACAGTCATAGGATTGTAAAGGCTTGTAGCGTTACGACGTTTTTCAAGTGGCAAGGAAATCTGCGTAACAACAATATTTTTTAATCAAGCATCAATTTTTTTATCATGTTGTAGAAGTGTACTACTATCACAAAAATAAAAAGCGACAAGAACGGCCAAGGTACTGGTGTTGAGACTTGTTACAGAGACTGGCATTTGCAATTGTGATTATACATCTAATATTTCTTATTTTAATGTTTTCTTATTTCCAAATCCATAACTCTGTATCAGAAATTTGGAATTTGAATAACAAAAGCATTGGACACATTTTGAGGGAACCCGAATCCTAAAAAACTAACTATCATAGGATCAATCGTAGTCTATCTGACCAGCTTGCTCCAAATCTAGTGGATCGATTAATTTGAAATTTGTTGTGTGAATAATCATAATTTGCTGCGAATTTTATATTTATAATTCATAATACGAAACCATTCTCCACGCATATTCAACTTGAATTTGGTCGATTTTTAATCTATTATTATCATACTGTTATAAAGTGAATGTAAGTTATGATTAATCATGTAAATGCCGCTTATTGTGCAAAAAAGAGTATGTGACCATGAGTGGACAATTAGGTAGTGGTCAATTAAAAAATAATTTGACGAACGATATATATCTGTATGAACGCTGTGACGTAAAGCAATATAATAACTAAAAGTGAAATAAGTCTACAAGATTAACCCCCGGGACTAGTCATTATGGCTACAGGGTGGATTTAATGTTAGAATGTTTTAGATCATATTCCCTGGTCCATTGCAAATTTGTCCTTCCCATCAGGCAATGACGTGGCTACAACCGTCCACTAATAAGTGGCGAGATAACATTTTTATTTGTGCTCTTAAGATCTTTTGCAATGAGTAACGTGATTAATTAACTAATTCAGTTTGCAAAGAGTTTAGTGTAAAGACTTAAAAGTTTATTAATATCCAATTAAGATCGGATACCTTTCGATTGACATCTTCAGCACAAACAAAAGGCGGAATTAAATTATTTTGTACGGACATCACTCAATTTGGGTATTTTTAATCTTGTTTGAATAGAAAAACGCTACTTTCATACATTTCTATATGGTGCATCTGGTATCTATAATTATGTTTTTTTAAGTTTTTATTTTTTATTTTACGTATATTATAGATTACTTACATTGGCAAGTTTCATTTCGAACTCCAGCGAGTTCTTAAGGTCAACCTTGGCCCTTGCTCGGTCCGCGCCCAGTAGAGTTGCGATATCAACCATGTACTCGTAATAGGCCTGGACGAGTTTATCGCTAAATCCACGGTTCAGGTACTCTCGGCTCAAACCTAATGACGCCTGGTCCAGCTGTTAGAAAATATTAACTTAGCGCATATGTTTTTAATCCAGAATTATGAACATTCGCATAATTACATAACATTCGCAGATAAAGCATATTCTTCGCAGTAATTAGTTGAGAAACTTAAATATTTTCTGTGAGATAAGATTGCAGGATGAGAGATGCTGATGATGAGAATTAAAGAGCGTATTAATTACAAAAATGCCGGCCGACCGTGCAGTTAAGATAAGGAAATAATGAAAGACGGGTAAGCTGTTGCATTCTTACATCAATGATTCGTTTGGTGGAATTTTTTCACATCAACACTGATGGAGAAAATCGAGGAAGTAGTCGACCGAGTATCCAGCATTGCGGAACTTATAGACTGACTGTTCCCAGGAGAAGGAACGCTCGTCCCACTTGTCACCGTCAAGCACGGGCCACCCGCCCAGGCGACGCAACATGTCCAGTAGAGGCTGCACACCGCGAGCTTCTATAGCACCTGCATTAAAATACACACAATACGTATAGTATATGTGTATAGTTATAGTAAATACACTATTGGTACATGTATTCTACTAAACTTACTTCATACATACATACACGCATTCACGTCTTTACCCTCACCCCAAAGGGGTAGACAAAGGCACACCAGACTCCCACCCCATGCTGATTATGATTTTAGTTCCACTCACATAATTGGAAGCAAGCCTGTTGCCGTCAATCGGACACATATATCTATATAAACATACAATACATACTATAAAAAAATTACACCCAGACATAGAACAAATGATCGTGCCCTATTACACAATATTTGTCCTGGATGGGAATCGAACCCACGGCCTCTATTTTAGTAGCCAATATCACTAATCACTAGACCAACAGGAAACAACTCTACTAATGTAATAATCATCAATGAACAATTTGTTTCATTTGATGTCAAGAACCCCATGCTTTTTTACAATCAAATTATTTGTTCAGAATAGGAATCAAACCCACGACCTCTAGCTTGTTAGTGAGGATCGCTGACCACTAGAGTAACAGGTCCGTTCAGTTATGGGCTCATTTATTAGAAGCATAATGTTTTTTATTATAAGTATAAAAGATTGCTGTTAAAAACTAAGTTAGTAAATCTACAAAAACTGATTTTTTCATACGTCAATAAGTAATAATAGCTATCAATTCTATTTATTTCTTGTCGAATAATTCGTCGTTGAAAATAAAACCAATTGATCTCAATTAAATTCTTAAATGATTCTAATTTTGTGTTCGTCGCAAATCAATAGAAATTAATTATTGTACCTTCACTCTACAATCCGAAATTTAAATGGTAGGGTGGCAGAAGGTGTCAGTCTAAAGTGTTTATAATCTGGTATTTCGTATTGCGATTGCCGTTTAAATCTGTTTTTAAATCAGTTACGTCACCCAGATTGTGTAAACAGCGGATACAGAATAGTTTTACTTTGCTTTCACTTACATTTAGTGTCAGAACATGTTTCAGCAACAGTTAAATAACATCATAATTACAGTAATTATACTTATTTTCATAATTAGTCTAGGAATTAGATCCAAAATTCGAGTCCGGTTAAAACACTTATTGGAACCCTACCGAGGTACTTCCTGATATTTAACAACAATTGAGGCTGCAAGAAGCCCTTGAGAATGAGAAGGCGAACCCCATCGCTTAAATAATAAATTTAATTTACGAACTCTCGTCTCGTCTCGTAATAAGCACGATACCCGGAATTAATGTATCAAGTGAAGAACGACCCTGTGTTTTATCAATTTAATGTAAACAATTTATTTTTACTTTGACAAACAATATGATAAGTGGAATTGTTTGTATATTATAAATTTATTATAGTACTAAAGCGTTATCTCCCTTTTTTTGTTAATTTTAGTATAAGAGAAAACAATTAACTTATTTTACATTTGAATAGATATACACAAAAGTTACAGGGTATCTGATCACCTGTCGCGTTATGGATATATACATATAATATACTACCACATTCACACAACGCCATCTAGTCCTAAACTAAGCAGAGCTTGTACCATGGCTACTAGACAACTGATATAATTACATATATACTTTTTTTTTTTGTAAATACTTACTTATTATACATAGAAACACTCAGACCAAATAAAACATTAAATGTTCATGCACACAAATGTTTGACTTGAGCGGGAATCGAATACGCGACCTTTGGAATTGCAGTCCGTCACACAAACCACTACGCCATTCGGTCGTCAGTAATTCAAAACCCCAGCATGAAATATAGCTAAACATTGAAGGTTGAATAAACATAATGAATTCTGATTCTGATCATCAGCCGAACTTTATGTTGTGCTTGTTAAAATAATAAACTTAGTTACTTATAGTTAGGTAATAAAATTCAGTTTTGGCCACAAACTATAAAACCTGGGTGCAATTAAATTATGCAACAGAGTAGTCACGGGCCCGGTTCTTTGAATAGCCAACCACCCCTGTTAGAGAGTTCGCGAGGGGGTATTAAAACTTATATGGCACGATACATTCAACGCGGCAAAACGTAATTAAAAGTTTACTGCAACCAGCAGCATTGTCTGATATTCAGTTTGTTAGTGTTATTGAGGTATTATTCTGGGCTTGTGTTCATATTCTATATATACCAGTAAATATATCTACATACGTCATCTGATAAATAACTACACGACTGTTAATTGATATTTTATGGCATCTATGGTAACGTATGAAACTCTTAGCAACTGGCCGGTGTGAAAACCGATATTATTCACTCTTTCCTGAATTCCTGATTTAAATTATTTTATAATATAGCTGCTTCTGTCTAATAGACATAATATAGCTGAGTCAGAGTTTATAAAATAACAGTTAGAAAGGCATGGTGCTGCCTATCTATTTTCGTTTGATTATTGTTATTTATTACTATTCAAAGCCATTGTTTTACTGTACGCTTCTATTTTTTTTTCAATTAGTAAAAGAAATATAGTGATGTGAAGTGTACGATAGTTATCTGAGAAATAATGACAATAAATAGAACGCAACTTTATTGAGACTATGAGATCTATGTTATTTTTGAAGTTATTTATTTATAGGGGGTATCCCCCAGGGTGTGTGAACTAAACATACTTACGAAAAAAAAAACCGCTCATACTTACTTCGGTTCATGCAGGCTTGGAACAAAGTTTTTGCGAGAACAAACGGTTTTGGCTCATTCTTTGCTATGGGTTCGTCTAGTAAAGCTCTTATCTGTTCTTGAAGCTGGTCGGTGATGATGGAAAAGGTGTTCACGGAAGTTTTATCATCGGGTATGCGGGTGTTCTTTACAAAGGAACCGCATGCGAAATCGTAGAAATCGTCGCATGGGTCCACTTTTTCATCCATATTCATTAGTAGTTTTGAGGCTACAAAATTAAAAAGAACTGATTAATTATCTACTGCTGATTATCTGGGAAAAAGCACAACACACAACAAACATAACGTAATATTATTGTCAAAACTACGGCAGTAAACATGCAATTCCTAGCTTTCTTAGCTTTTAAATAATTTATCCTCAGATTCTGTGAAAGGACTGGACAGGAAGAAACAGTTAACATGTTTAGCGCCGCCTTTAGAAATTGTTGTCCCCGCTTGATATTTTGTATTATATATTTAATACGAATACGAATCTTGTGTCAACTATGTTTCTAGAAATAACAAAGATTTTGCTAAAACATTAAAAGTCAGACATTGATATGAGATATGCGGGGAAGAGATGTGCGGGAATATTTTTCATGGACCTTATTCCCGCGGTAAACTTTGTTTATTTAAATGTTAGGTATACAACGATCATTTAAACCCCCTAAATGGGAACAGTTGAGCACGTTCGTAGCACGGTTAAAGAAACAAGGCCTTCGTCGCCCAATATATTGATTGAGGTTTTGTAACGATCGTGATAGTATTTATTGAATTAAAAACTGACCTCGATTTCGTGAACACATAAAATTTTCTATTAAATTAGGTCATTTTGTATTCACGTTTTTTTTTAAGTTAAATACACAACTTGCTATTAAATGAAGTTTCTTTTCAAAACCAAATCGTGCCGAAATTGTGTTTAAACACACCCAATTAGTAACCTCAAAAGCTTTTCAAATATGAATTCAGTACAACTTTGCAGTTTTTAATTGATTGAATTAATAAACTATTTCATCGATTTTATGTTGGTGTAAAGCACAAGACAAGCAACACACATTAACAACACCAAATACGTATTATAAATTAAATCAAAGAGGTATACATAACCACCATGTTACAAAACGTAGACTAGGACGGACTACGAAAGTGAAGGTTAAAATTTAACACGTTTTCAAACCATGAAAACTATTATATGGGCGTCTAGTTCTTTTATGGCATACGTTTCGAAATTAGACGGAAAAAATAAGTACCTGTGTTTACTCGAACATTTACTTATTCATTGAATATTTTATGACGCGGCCGATCGCCAGGATCGCCGGGTCTCAAGGGCGATGCGCCATTTCTGAGAAAACCGATGTTCTAGAAATTGTCTAAACTTGACCACGGTACTTATTTATTTCTCTATAATAATAATGTCTTCATGTACCATTTTCATATATATTTTCTTCATACTTGTAGTGGTCAGTATCACTTAAAAAAGATTTGATAAATCAAGAAAGTTGTTATTTTGTACCAACTACTAATAGAAAGTGGTATCATTTATGGGAGTGCACATTTTTGTGGGGTTCCTTCTCGAAAGTAAGTTGTCCCGTTTACAAGACCCTTGCTTGTACCTGACTCGGCCCGTCGAATAAAACATGCGTCTTGTGGTAAAGCATATCAAAGTTAATTTGTAGGACAAAGAAAATATTTTGTCCAGTATACTCGTATAGGTTTAAGTTGAATGCTTGTACTCTAAACTAAACTATAACTAGAGTTTAACACTAAGTCTGTTGATGGAAAGTTTATTATTTTTCTGAAAATGTCTGCGTACAAAAAAGTAAATTACTTTGAAAATACTTTACATAAACATAATATTATTCAATTACATTAGCAAAAGCGTGTTTAAAATTTAAACAATTACACAGTCTTTTTTAAACTAAAATGTTTGTGGACGACGCTTAACGCTCACTACAATTTGACTACACCTTTCTGGAACACACTGTATAAAGGACGCCAAAAGATTGATCTGCCCAGGGTGTCTAGAGGATTATTGATATTTTATTATCAGTTTATAAAAAAATAAAGTCCTGTTTATAACATCTGTTAGTGAGTATTTCACGTTCATGAAACGCAAACTAACTCTGCAGTAGGTACTTACCACATATCCTGACGAATTAATATACATACAAGACAGTTTTACCTGTGTGGATACATCCAGGAGAGTTGCATAAGTCCACTTCCATATCGCCGGTTCCTCCTCTGATGACAACTGCCGGCGGCATGGATGAAGAAAGTTTCAGTTCACTAGTCTGTGGCTTGTCTAAAAAGCAGGCACAAACACATGCTGCATGAATTGATGATAATGACAAAAATCGTGCAAGTAATAAATGCAACAGTATGAGTAAAAAGCATTACAAAAAGGTCCAATCTACAAAGTAATGAAAATTTGATTGTAAATATTTGTTTTACACGTTTGTTCATATTTGTTGCCGCGGAGAATGTAAAGATTCAACTTTTGAATATTTTTTTGTAAATTATCATTTTTTATTAAGTGTGATCTGCCAGCCTTATTAAGTATATAGTATAGTAGTTCTTATTAAGTATGAGCTGACAGACTATTTTTCGCACAACTTTCTGAGTGGCTAGATAATTGCATCGATACTGGTCCAAACCTTAGAATTGTGTAGGGGTAGTAAACGTTGACAAGGTTTTATAATATATAATAACTAACTATATCCTCATATATTTTATATTCATAACGAATGAGCTTAATTTTCTTTTATGAAATTATTGCGTAATGCAAAGGAACAATAAATGTCTACGTGTTTAATATTACATTATAAATCAAATTCCTAAATTAAATTACAAAAGTACGAAGTCACGGGTAACAGTTAGTAAATTATTCAATAACAATAAATATGATATTTGTCTACTACCATTAATATACAATTTTCAAATTACCATCTGAATGTTGTAAAAGCGTTGCCAGTAGATACTTATTACTAAACTTCTGTATAGTAATTTTGTTACTGTGTGGGAACTGCGGAATTATTATACATCGAGTTAGCTAGTTGCTAATCAATTTATATGTCCCGATAGTTACCCTCGCAAATTGTCCCCCTCGAAAATGCTTGTGGTCATTTTATTACAGAACTTTGTTCACAATTATTAACTAAAGGTAGTATTAAAGTTCCAGTTTCTAATTAGGTGAAATTAGGAGATTCTTTGATTGGCTCTTAGTTGTTGTATTTTTCTAAAAAAAGTCTGTTCGCATCGAAAAACTATTACGAGTAGATCTTGTCCTGCTTACTTACATACATGCGTACTGCCTATACTTACAAAAGGAAAACCACTCTTTATACTTTGTTTAAATACATTTTTAATAAAAAGCCGCTCAAAATTAATAGTGGTTCTAGTAAGTAAACCTTCGATTTTTAAACACAGTATTTTTTTCTCTCTGTTTATAGATCTTAAATTAATATAGGTATGTGGTAAGTTATGACATGATGTTAGCTACGACGAAAAGCGTTACCTCTACGATAACCTAAAAAAGTTAGCCTTCGTATATGGCTACTAATGTGTTTGTATATATTAACAAAGTAGCGATTATATTTGATTCATTAAACAGTACACAAAAATAACTGCTAAAAAAAGTTAATTACAGCTGTAAAAAACGTAAAATTCTTTGGCTATTACATAAAAACACTTAATTATTGCAAAATACTATAAGAATATATGAGAATATAAAAACACTACATACTGTTCTATAGGTAAATGGAAAGTACCTACCTAATGGAAAGTACCTACTCATCAATTTTTTAATTCCTGCCTGACGCGAATCCTTACAGAAATGACTAATTAGGTAAAGTAAAATGTAAATCTCGGATGAAACAACCGAATTGAGACTACAGTAGCTACGGAGCTACTGCAGAGACATCAACTGGCCATTGAAACATACTAAAACTTATTACAGAGTCTAGTTACAAATAAACAGCTGCGCCATAAAGACTTTTTCATTATTGTCGTAAAGTCAAGTCCTTTTTATAAACCTATTTGTTAAACTGAAGTCAAGTATAGTATGACTATACTTGACTTCAGTTTAACAAATAGGTTTAGAAAAAGGACTTGACTTTGTGACAACGTCGTGTTCGTAGATATAGACATGAGTGGATGTAATATGTAATGTAAATATTATGTTTAGTTTCTATTTTATTAACAAGTTATAGTATATTAAGTTTTAGTAAGTATATTAAGTTTAAGTATATTAAACTGTAATCAACTTAAGTGTTGTGTAGGTACTGACTCGTATTCACATCTAGCGGTGTAATGCATAATATTTTATAATAGATATTTAATGGATAGGTGTTTGTTAAGTAAATTGATTATTAAAACAATGTTTACCTCTCCATCGTGTCTATGTTACATGTTCACATACATTTAATTTAAAACAATCTACGTAAGTATTAAAATTAATTACTTAGTTGTGTAGTTAACGAAGTACGAAGCTAAATGACAATGAAACTATCAACCTAAAATTACGAGTATGCTAATAAAACTAAAATATAAATATGATCTATCTAAACTTTACATTCTTTTCTTTTTCTTATTTATAAAAGAAAACTCTCGCACCCGGAATATATCGTGTTGCGTGGGACTTTACAAACATGCGTGGAACGGACACAAAAAACACCCAGACTATGTAGACTCTGACAATTTATAGATCACACAAAGTGTTGTCAAATGTGGGGATCGAACCCGCAACACTCAGTGCAGGAGATGACCGCATACACCACGACGCCACCCGTACAGTCAAATAATATTTCGTCACAAAATTTAACTCAGCATTCCGAAACGTTGTTTAGTTTTTGTGTAACTAACTTTTTAAATTACCATTTATTCCAGTATCATTATTACACGTATAAAAATGTATGTATACGACAATGGCACTGCAAAGAGAACGAAAATTTGAAACAAACCCTATACAGCTATACCAACCCGTTTGGCCAGCGTGGTATAGTATGCCTTTGGACTACTAAAGGCGGTTCATGATGATGTTAATTTACACTACCAACCATCTATGGAATATGTAATCAAAATTCAAAGGCCCAATACATCAGTTTAAAGAATAATCTTAATCTGTACCTTACATTTCCAGAAAGGAAAGGTTAGTTGACTTTAGATTTCACCATTTCTCAATAGACATGCCCCATTCGTAAGTGGGACCGAAGTATAGTTGACAGAATTTCGGTATTCAATACAACATATGTATAACATGTACATTTATGTTATCATTAACGATAGTCAGTCACATCAGTGCCTCTGAGGATTATTTAGTAAATACCTACATATATCTACGTTTAATATTTGCAGTAATTTTCTTTTTCAATTAATAATTGAAATACGTCATGTATAGAATTATTGATCATTATTTTTGTCACACCGGAATTATTAGAGAACGGTGTGTATTCAAATGATAGAATTATTTGAAGGATAAAGCCTTTATCATATCGTCATATCTTTATTTTTACGTGTGGATACCCCCTCGTGCCGTCACCCCACCAAGGTTTGCGGCAGGGCGGTGTGTCGGAATCGAACCAACTAAAACCCCACGGTGTGTCACTTTGCGTCTGAAATAGACGGCATCGGGAAACAACTGTTTTTTAAGACATCCGCAACGAAATCCTTGACCATGTGTGCAGGTTACCTTTGTATAATTTGAAATATTACACACATGTAAATGTTAGATGTAATTTTATAAACATCTGAATGTGATTCATTAGTTTTTTAGATTTTAGACTTTATTATTCATTTTATCTACCTAGATGTCTATTTGACGATGTCAGTGATAAGTATCGAAACTTCGTTAGAGACGAAGAGGAATAAAACAAAACAATACCTACTTACACCATCAATGAAAGTATTACTTTATGTAACAAACATTTTGTAAAGCCGCTGGAATGGAATTACTGTGGGGAGATTGATTTAGTACGCAGTCAGAAATGAGACACGTGTTAAGGGGAGTGCTATTAGGTAGTGGCCATACTATATTAAAAACATTTAATATATTGGTAAGAATGTATAAAATTTATATATCTGTGTGTAATCACGTTGGTTCACAGATGGAGGAATAACACAATGATGTTGTGAAAACATCCAGAAATTGTTACCTAAACAACGGACAGAATTGTTTTTCGTTGTCTTATTGTATAGTCATCACATCTATGTGAACATATACCCTAAACCTTGAAATATGAACTGCAATAATTTTACGACCCGACTGATCCCAAACTGGGCAGTATGGGCAAATGTAGTACGGTAACCATAAATATACTCATATGTTTCTAAATATAACTCATTAAATTATATATTATATTGGCACGTTCTTAATTTTCATCATGAACGTCGTTAGAAAGAGACTTGACAGGCTTATATGCTTATGCTTATGCTTGTATGCTTTTATGTAGATACAATTAGAATTGTTTTGTTTTTAATTTTAACTACCCACATTTGTAGAAGCCCAGAATGCACTTCAAAATTGTCAAAATTGTCTTAGAATACTGTGTAGATAATTATGGTTTAGTACCACAGGTGTTAAAAACATAGATTTACTTACTTATTTTTTTTTATTATGTTTAATACTAAACGCAAAACGCTTCATATTTAAGTTTATCGCTACTCCGAGGCAGATAAAGGACACAGTTCAGTGCATCGTTCACGGTTACAATAAACTGTAAATAAAAAAGCGCAGATCTTTATTTCTTATTTTTGTCTGTTGTTGTCCTTTCTCAACAACTACTTAGACTTGATCAATTTTGTGTAGTGATACAATAGTCGTTATTATTACAATTTAGTTTAACATCGAGGTAATGCGTGCGTGCGAGGGCCTAGCGCACGGCACCAGTTACGACATACGACGTGATCTCTTGTTTTGTAACCAACATCCGAGAGCTGTAAGATAGTTTTTTGTGCATTTTTTAACGTTCTATTACGATACCGCTGCATTTTACGCTGCGATATAACTTATCTAGTTAAGTTACTACTAACTATATTAACTTATGAAACAAGTTGATAACGGTGACTTTAAAATTCGCGATTTGGGCTTATATTTTTGCGTAGATGTGACGACACCGGCTCCTCGGAGAGTACAGATTCTCGAAGGATAATCTTTAAAGATCTAATCCCAAGGTTATCTTATAAAGGAAGACGTGCATTTTCAAGATCAACAATAGTAAATTAAGGACATATCTCATAAACATATAAATATGTTAAAAACTTTTATCGAGTGCAATACTTTTCGTCAAAGACAATTTATTGTAAGTCAGTTAATAAAAGCGTTATTGACATTTAGCGCACTTTGCGCTTAAACAATGAACAAGACGGAACTAGACAGGAACGTAGATTCCGTTTAAAATTAGAGACTAACGACCGAGATCTAATGAAGAAAAGCAGCTAATGTTACTTCAAAAATAGAAATTGATGACAATCCATAAATCTGTTTTTTAAATAGACTTTTGTTTTTAAATAGTGTTGTTTTAATAAAAGTCACACTTTTATTAAAACAAGTATGAAAAACAATTGTAAATGCTAAAAAGTGTCCAAAATTTAAATTTTGGGTTTTACGGGCGTTCTTAACTTTTTCCTGTAAGGTGTAAGGCACACAAGAAGACTTGTATACCCAGTGATATTTGAGGGATTAAAAACTGGATTCCTCAAGAAAATTTCTAATTTAGTTAAAAAAGTGGGTCCTCTTAAATTAATTAAGTAAACTTAACAAAGAAACCCTTTAGACTATGTAATATAAAGATTGTGTGTAAAATATTCATCGGCATCAGGCCAACAATATGTCCTGACGCGTTCTTACATCACGCGTATTGTACCTACTACTTGCTCCTACTTTTATAAAGAACAAAGGCTCTGAATCACTTGCAAAAATTTTCTCTAATTACATATTCCACCGACATCGCCTCGTCGGTGAATTACAAATGAAAACATTTATTTCATTTATGTTGGCCCACCAATCATTGCTTCGTAATATGAACATGTTTTAGCCGACTTAAAAAAAAGGAAAAGGTTTATAATTCGGCTGTATGATTTTATTAACGTTCGAGTTTATTTTTTGTGTAAACGGGTATAGTTACTACTCATTATCTTTTAATTTAAAAAAAAAGGTATTCTTAATTACTTAATTTTCTTCTGTAAACACTTAATTGTATTTGTATACTTTGTTACTAACAATTGATCACGATGAAGGCGTATCGAAGTCGTTTGTTTTTTTAAAGGAAATTATTTGTTTAATGCTCCGTTTTGTCAATCATAATTCGATAAAGAGAAGTGCCTTGATGATTTGTGTGGTATCTTTGGTAAAAATATTAAGAATGTTCTTCTACTTATCACTGGTACGAAGTGTAAACGCGGCCTTTCAGATCTAGTCGGCTTTCAATGAAAATTCAATTCTATATAATTTGCGGAAGTGAATTATTTTCTCGGAATTATTCGTTTATTTTATCACAGTTCCATACAAAAACTATTTCTCCGAAGGAACTCCCCAATTAGGTTATAAGGTCGCTTGGTCTAAATTGTACTACGTGTCCTGACTACAGCTAGCTCTAAGTTGCAGCTACGTGACCTCCTTAAACCATCAAAATGAAACAGTTGACGTAATAGTAAAAGAGAGTCATAAATACATGCATATCTAATTAAACTGAATGAATATATTTATTGTTGCTTTGCATACGACTAAAAGAATACATAAAAACGTCATTGAAAGAACCAATATCAAAAGTAAATATAAAACGTGATATCAATTTCCTGTTATACTTATTACGAATCGTTGCAGTGAATAAGCTCGTCATTGTGCTGAATGACCTTTGCGCTGTGATGGGCTCGAATAAAACTGCGAAGATGCCTTTTAACTATTTTCTGTGAATTGTTTTTTTTTTTTGCATATCCTAAATTTCATGCGTTTTGATGCCACAACAACAATTCTAAGCAAACACATCCATGAAGAAAGCTACTAGGAAATAGTTTGACCAATTTCTTTGACTTCAAATTTAAGACGACTTGAAACACTATACATTTTTAAGCATAATGCACTTTTCTGATCACAGGCATACAGGCAAACATAAATACGGATAAAGGTTTGATGGTACATATGAAAAGTGGTTGAGGTGGAACGTGGGTGCGAACTGTAGTCATACTTATGATGACTTACCGTGGCTGTCATCAAAATTTTTTGGGTTTGCATAAAACAAAACGGGGCCCACAAAAGGGCTGGGAAGGCGATGACCAGCAACACGGCCACCCCCAAACGGTTTAGCATAAACCTTTCCCCCCCATTTTGGTCCGCAGCCCCCAAAGGGAAACGATGGCCTTTAAAAATTTTAAACCCAGTCAAAAAAAAATACCAGGCCCACGGGGCCCTTTTTGTAGATTTTAACGAATGTTTTTATTTATTTTTCCAAAATAAACTTTTTGATATCCCCAAACCTGTTGATGTGTGCCCTCGCCATTTAAAAGGGACCCCTAAATTTAGTGTCGATTTCCCGAAATTTAAAACCGTTTCCCGGGCCCTCGATGGCATTCAATAGCGTGTCTGTGGTATGCCCGTGGTTTGGGCCCCGAGAACAAAAAAATACAAAAATTGAGGCCGGGTTAGGTATGTTGAGGGAAATATTAAATTTTTTTTTCCCTTAAAATTTGTAATTATTTTTACTTTTTTTAATGCTCTTTGTCGTATTGTTTAAATTTGGGTTTAAAATTTTTTTTTTAAAGGATTTACCTATTTATTTAAAATCTAACTTTTTACATCTATTTTAAAAGTTTGTAAAAATGTGTAAAAAAATGCGGGGGGATTTTTTTTTTTAAATATTTTTCCGGGTTTAAATTTTTTTTTCTGTTTAAAATCCCAATCTTTGCTATTTCAAATACCCCTTCCCCAATTATTTAGCAATTATGACTTTTATATGGGAAGGGAAAGCAAAAAAGTAAAAAATAAAAATTAAAGGAGTTTAAAGAGTTTTTTTTTTCTTTTGGTGATTTTTGTAACTAGACTGCCCTTTCCGTTTTTTTATGGGCCTGTTCAAATATTGTTGGGTAATCCCCTTAAATTTAAAATGTTTTGCTCCATTTTTCAAAAAAATCCCAAAAAATGATTTTTAAAAAGGAAAACTAAATTGAAATGGCCCGAATCCACTGTTTGAGGGTCTCGACGGAAAAAGGTTTTTTTGTGCATTTTGTTCGTGGAAGTCTACGTTTCCGTTGATTGAAAGAATGTATAATATAGCTAAATAAAAAGATGGGGTTGAAAAAGAAGAAATTTCTTTTACAAAACCCCCATCCTTTTCATTCAGCTATATTATAAGTTTGTTTTAAAAAGTGAATCAGGGGTTTTGGGGCCCAATTCTAATGGGCCCTATAAAGGAGTAAGCACAAACGAGTGAAAAAAGAAAAATGGAAGAAGAAAAGTAAATTGCCCCGCCCCCAAAATTTAAATTTGAAAAAAGGGCAAAAAATTTGATTATGGTAATGTTAATATAACTGAACCTCTAAATATTAATATGTGTACGTTTAGGGTCGTTCAAAACATTTTTGGGAAAACCCATTTAAACCCAAAAAACGGGTTTTTCCCCTTTTATTAATCGCCCAATACATTCAGAATTTTTTGAAATCACCAAAACTAACAACAAATAATTTTATTTTAAACCCCAAACAAAGTCTGAGCTGAAAAAAGAAATATGATGAAATTTCTCCAAACCTATTCAATTCATTTTCCCAACTTCCCAAACGTCCCCCATTATAATTGGAAAACTATTTAGGGAATTTAGAAAATTTCAAAGGGTTTTTGTGGGTTTTAAATAATATATTACTTTTTTTTTAGCCCTTTCCCTACGATTTTAATAATGAAATTTGGATAATTTACTATTTTTGGGTTTTTTTTTTGGGTGTGTTTTCCCCCTCCCTGATTTTCAATTTGGGGTTGTTAATATTCCCATTGTTTTCAGCAACATTTTTCATTATACAATACCCATAGGGACTTCTTTATTTTTGAAATTTGGGTATTTTTTTTCAAAAACAAATTTTTAATTTAAAATGTAAAAAAAATGTAAAAAAAGACAACTGGGTAATTTAAACATTTTTTCCAAAAAATTGTAGTTTTCAAAAACATACTCGTATTGTTGCTGTCTAATGAAAATTTAAATAACTGAAACATGTTATATTTAAATTAAAAAGCTATGTTGAAAATGAGAGTGGTTGTTCTTTGAGGGAGAAAATTGCCTCCAAATTTTCAATTGTTTTTGGTAACCCAATTTTCGTGTAACCGTAATTTCCTTGGTGTTAAAACGAAAAAGAACTTGCGGGGGATCTCTACTTGATTGCTTTCTTGTGATAATGTGGGGTTTTTTAACAGAACTCTTTAAAAAACGTATGTACGTAAAAACGATTTGAACAGATAGCATTTTATGACATTCAGCTAACTTAACATGTTATTCAAGACGCTGTTACATATTTATGCAGATACAAAATAAATATGGATGATAAAGAAAGTATCTACGATACTTACTCTATAAACAATTATTATAGATAGTTTTTACTTACATTTTTAGTACTTTTTTAGAAACTCCCCGTTATTGTAATTTTTTATATGTGTGGTGCTATAACTTTATATTAAATTGATTCTCATCAATGCATTTTTTTTTAACTTTTAAGGGTGCAGTACCCGAGGGGTCCCGTGTCAGTACTGTCCGTCCGTTTATTATCCCTCCGTCCGTTTATATTATACTCTACATTTGGTACGGGGCTCTAAATATGTGAAGTCCAACACGTACTTGGTCGGTTTTCCTTATTTTGAGATTTTTCTATGTCTCCAAACACCATTAGAACGATGCATTGCTGTGGCAGTGTATTGTTGATTTTGATGGATACTAACAATGATTTTATAGATTTGTGGGCCATTTTCTTCTTACTTGTCTTGTGCTTCCGTGAATTTCAGTATTTTTTATTAACATTTGTTTTCAAAAGCCTTTGCAGCTCTTATTGCAGATACATTATGAGTTTGGATAACAACAGCAGTCACGATTCTAATAAGATTGAGCAAATACCAACACCAGTTGCTACTTTTACCTATATATTGAAACATCGATTAATGCTATTCAATGTATAACTACATTCTATAGCATTTGCCATTTTGCAGTAAAGCTTATGTTTAAATCAATTAACCAGGAACATCAGCCGTATTAATTACTCTTGTAATTAATAGTCGTTGTACTAATTATTGCTGTAGAATGTTGTATAGGCTTATTCTGTAACTTGAAAGTCTGTTGTTTAAGTGAATAGATTGATGTTATATATTCATGATAATGGTTTAAACGTATATCTAAGTATTGTCAATCGTCACCAAAGTATCAGGAAAAGCTATGTAGACACATTTCATAAAAATCAGACTTGTAGATCTGTCTATATTATTGTGTAGTTTACGTATAATTAAGCTTACCTATGTTTATGCTAAATTTACATCAGTGTAAAGAAGGAATTATTAGCTATTTTAAAGCTATTAATCTTATTATAAAATTCAAAACGTCAGACATCCTTGGCTGAATATAGAAAGTTTGCTAGGTAAGTTATCCAAATGATGTTGATAAAATTAACTACTCTTTTAGTTGTGATATTCAGTTTAATGGCAGTTAAAGGTTAGAAGTCAAGTAGGCATTAATATAGCATTGGTACTCACGAAAATTACTAACTGGGTGAGCTCACTGACTACTAGCCATTGCTAGGTGACCCACATCCTAAAGACAATGAAGTGTAATAAAATGGACAATGGGATTGAAAAAAAAGAGCATAAAACTCCTGTAAGTATGTTCCTCACTCCCTTCTGGTTCGAGACTTACAAACTTACAATAGAACATAACAAAGCAATTAATTAATATATCAAATATAATTGACGAATTAATATGAAATTGAAAATGATAATAAAAACAGAAATATATGTACATACCTACATATATATTTCAAAATCAATAACTGTTTGATGTTCCATATTGCAATTATTAACCACAATAATAGATTGCATGAACTGTGAAATTGATTTCATTCACATCACATCACATCAACAGCCTTTAATAGTCCACTGCTGTACATAGGCCTATCCTTAGAAAGGAGGTTTTGGCCTACTGTACCACGCTGGCCAGACGGGTTTGGTATAGAGTTTGTTTCAAGTTTTCCTTCTCTCTGCAGTGCTGCTGTCCTGCGCAGTTTGCTTCCTTAGTCGCCTCTTACGACACCCATGAGATGAATAGGGGTGGTGACACTCTGTATTCTTAATCCGTCACCACACGGACGAGCGATTGATTTCATTAGTGTGTGTAAAGTATTTATGCAGGCTTTTGATCATAAAAACCTACGCAAGACACTAAAATTCAAAACACAATTATTTCGATGGAAATTACAAAGTCCAAAAACAACTCACTATTTAAATATTAATATTTAAATCAGCGTCTCCGGCCGTAGTAATTTTCGCAACGTGCATTGCAGGAAAAATTGCTGTTTTTCATCCACAACTGGTTGTTGTTAAAAGAACTTGATCGTTGTTCAAAAACTAGTTGCGGACTAAGAATGATACATGTGATATAAGATAAAAAATAGTTTTATTGATCCGGGCTTGGAAGGACGGTTAGATTAATTTTTATATTTTACCTGTTCCTTATAAATGTTTTATTACCTGCATGAGTACTAAGCAATAACAAAAGTGTGATCTCCATTAAGCTCCATTATATGACAACTAATAGCACAACTAAGTTCTAAAGCGATTAAAGCTTAAAAGCTTCATTATATATTATATAAAATCAGTAGTAACCAAGTGCTACGAAGTAAGACAAGAATGAAAAATAAAACGCGGTGTCAAATATAATCGCTGATCACGTCTGGCATCGTTTCCATTTCATTGAACAAGTTTTAAATAATAAATGAACGGGACCTGACAGGTGGTAGTGATAAAGAATGGAGATGTTAAGAGTTATTTAGACAAGTTCAATCATTCGATGCTCGAGTTCTTCGATGACGTGTAGATTAATTATAGAGGTTGCTACTAACGTATCTGCCGTAAAGCAACGCTTGAATACTCCTTAAGATTGAGATTAAGAACAATGCTTTATCTGGATATCACTAATGAGTATTTTTTAATTACCACAGAAATAAGTACACGTGCCCTGTAATTAGAAGTCTTGTTGATAGTAAATCATGGTATACTTTTGACAATTATAATTACGAGCAGTTAATGTATGTATCTACATTGTACTTAAACACACAATCTCGAATGCATAGTATTGTTTTTTCCTTAATAGTCATTTTCAATACCTACAAACCTTTAGATAAATACAACCGGTTAGATTGTGTTGGTGTGTTTATCAGCCGTAAATATCGAGGTGCCAATATTTTAGTTGTAGTGTGACCGAAACACAATTTAAAAATAACCCTAATTTTTAGGTAGGTACCTACCCAACTGTCTTTAAATATATGTGTGAAAAGAAAGAACCACTTAAAAAAACGTTTTTTTAAATAATTAAGTAGGTATTTAATTAAGCCACTGCAAAAACTCGAGATTTCACACTGTGAAACAATAACGATCATCACGTTTTCTCTTATAGAATTTCCACTCTTTTCGTACAAACAATGTTTTTGTTTCGTTAGCATTTCGTTAAGAGTCTTAGCTGTCCACACGAATATGCCTTCTGAGTTCATAACAGCATTGAACTGATTAGTATGATTAACTAAGAGAAGACGGTACGGGTGGACTACAACTAAACCATTAAATGTTTTTTCTTTCGGGAGCATTTCGTTATGGTCAGTCTTGGCTGTCACAACGAATATGCCTTCTGAGTTTATAAACAGTACTGAAGTCACTATTGTGATTAACTAAAATTTTATATGCGTCTCTAACTTGATCACATTATTATTCACAGATAGATGTTCAACTTTTGGTTTGTTTCATGTTTATGAATTATAACCCGTGAACAAGGAAAGCATTAAAAAATTAGTGAAGTTTAGCCATTAACTTGCTCATCGCACTGCGCATAATGAAGGAAAGTTAGACTTAGACTTGTAAAATTTTAGATGCTGTTGAACTTTAAATAAACGCAGCCGTGAGCTTCTTGGCCGAAATAAATATTAGGTGATTTCGTTACTAGAGGCTTTTGAAAATCAGTAGATAGTATTGTGGACTAATACTGAATGACTGAATATACGATAAAATATCCATAACCTTGACACTGTTGTGTATTGTGGACCGTAGCTATTTCTTTAAGAGAGCTAAGGGCATTTAATATTATTTTTATGGCGCTGTAGCATCAAAATGTCGTTGGATTTTGTCCAAACGTCACCTCCAAAAAGTTATGGAATATAAAGGTAATAAAATGGCGATTAATTTCTTGTTCGCCATATATTTAAACGGTTAGGTACAAAATATCATGTGTTTACCGAAAGTTTTAAACTGTGACAAGGTCTTTGAAAAAACGTAAATTAAATGCTAAAAAGCTTTAGATGTCGGTAGTTACTGTCAGAATCGGCCCTCGAAATAGTTCATTCGCCCATAAAGAATACCTATTATTATCACTTCGAAACTTTTACTGGTTTTGTAATACATTTGAATTTGAGATAAAATATAACACATGTCTGTTCATGTTTTTGAGTAGATTTTAGTAACGGTATACCGCGTATAATTACAATTAAGATTAATCTGCAATTATTTTACGGACCTTCTTTTTCTTCCTCTATTTTACTTTTCATAATTCTAGCTATTACTACATAGCTTAGCCTCTAGAGAGAATAAAATACTGTGTTAGGAAAGGGCACACTTAGGTAGTCTACAAGCGTAGGGTTCGAATCTGCAACAAGTTGGTCGACAGTCCGACTCCTAGACTGCTACCGTTAAATATGTGAAATTCGCAAGATAACAATAGCTTTTCCTGTGGAAGTGGTGGAAGTACTTATGTTTTAACATTTAATCGCTGTTTGACCGCTTACCGGGTTTATGCTTTTATTTGCACACATATGGGTTCTGTTTTTATAAGATTAGCAAAAAAGCTAACTAACATGCTAAGGAAACACCACATTAACACCACATTGAATGCATCGGGAGTTAAAATAAAATATTAAATTATAAAATATAAAATTCCTGTTATTCGTTAATTGAGATTTATTTTTAGTAAAGTTAAAACTCCATGAAATGTTATATACCTACAATTTTTGTAGGTACCTACATACCTCGTACCCTGCACTAAAAAGGATTTAAAAAAAAATGGATAGTAAATAGTTGTTAATTTACAAGTGATTTGTCTTCTCTTATCTACCCTCACGATTATTTAGATAATTTCAGATTCACTTCTCTATCCTGTCCGTATTAATAATCTATACTAATATTTTAAAGAGGTAAAGTTTGTGAGTTTGTATGTTCAGGGTGATCTCCGGTACTACTAATCCGATTCTGAAAATTCTTTTACTGTTAGAAAGTTGTATTATCTCTGAGTGCTACAGACGACTTTTTTTTGCAGCCGTGCAAAGCCGGGGTGGGTGGCTAGTATTGTATATACCCTACACTGTACTCTGTAAAAGAAAAAGAAGACACCTCTGTTGTTGTTTCAGCGTTTCTTCCCATAGTCTTAGATTATGCCGGCTCCATATAGCTGTATAGTCCGATTTGTAAAAGTGTTTGAAAGATTTACTCTCAGAAAGTAGTCACTGTTAAGTGTGGATACGAGTGTAGAGTAAGGGAGCATGTCTAAGGCTGTGTATATGGAATTTCTTATTTATTTCCTATTCAATAACAAATTAATCCCAAGAACGATAAACACAGTTAATAGCTACTCTGACATCTCCGATGGTGATGTACTTGTACTACGATTTCTGAGTTCATACGCGTCAAGACATACTAGGCACTCTATCCTTCTAGTCCAAAATTA